TACTGACTCCGAGCCGACCAGTCCTTGTTGTACCCATTAATGCAGAGCGCCAGGCAGGGACCAACAAGTACCATATTTTAACGTATTTTGGTATGACGCAGTCGGGGATCGAACCCGCGACCTTCCGCTCTCCTGGCGGACGCTCTAACCAATACACCACGGAGGCGGTCTGCATTAGGCAGTGCTGTTGACTCACTCACAGGCCCCGAACCGTATAATTTTCCTTTCCGGCCCTTTCTCATGTTTAGATTTTCTCAGGTTCAGATTCTCCCATGTATTTCTTTCTGACAAAATTATATATATTCAGAGACAATGCGTTGGTCTAGCAGTACTGGGTCGAAGGAAATATAGTATGGTTCAGTTACAAAAACTTGACTATCGACCCTGAATGTGGATGTGGGCGCGTACGTGCGTCAGTGCGAGTGTGTGTGTGCGCGCGTGTGTGTAGCATACCATAAACACATCAATTTGCCCGCAGAAAGGTTACAATAACCAAAAACTGTATTTCATTTTACGAGAACGGAACTAAAAAATGTTTATTTTTTAATATTATATATGTATGTGAACGATAGGGATATATATTTCTATTTCCGTTGGAAAGGACATCACTGACTAAAATGACAGCGTGTCGTGACTCGAAATGCAATAGAATGCTGGTCACTGTTGACCTTGTAAGACGGCTATACAATGACTTGAGTCGTCTGTGATGTTGGTATTTTACTTGATGTATGTATATAGCACCACGCGATATGCTGTTGTCGACTGTGATCGACGTGAGTAACTTACATAATGGATGTGATACGCACGTGATCCGCTGTTCTAGTTATCGCCCTACACTAATTAGTCAGATAACAAGGTTAACTAGAGAGATAAGCGGATTGAAAGAAATATGAGAACAGACGAATATGAGAACACGCAAACGAGAGTTGTTATTTTCAGTAGTTCACAGTGGGACAACATCGACATGTTAATTAAAAATGTCAAATATCCACCAAATAATAAAATATCCAAAAAAGATAACTCGTTTGAGTGGCGTTTTAGAAATTGGGACGCACAATATTGAACAAACGTTTTGGATAACACGTTTTTGTTTCGTGTGTAATATGGATAACAACTTTTTTATTTAGCACTCACGAAATAAAGAATGTGTTATCCATACATTTTGTACAATATTATCCAAAAAAGAACCCAGGACTTTTTTTAATTTCAGAGCTTAGGCAATGTAGATTTGACCTGGACTCCATTTTTAAAATTTATGAACGAGGGTCTGGGATACAGATTAGGGGAACGAGGATATAGTACGGTGGATCTTACTTTGTGGAATAATTATATTCACACATGCTCTTGAAAGTGCTCATTGGTCCACAATATGACGTCACATTGCTTCAGTGATGAGAACAATAAGATATGATGCATCCACTGTCAGTGACGTCACACTTCATCTTAATATCAGCGGTAAATCTCCAGTTGAGTTTACAAATTGTTCTCATTGTTTTTCTTAAAATGACAATGATCAATGTAAAGATTATTTTTCAAAACTCGGAATTTCGGATAATAATCCAAAGGCTCAAAGTGTGCACCATGCATTCATTCGGGATGGATGATTCGAAATATCCAGTCGTCCTTGGTTATGCTCCATTTTCCCAAACAATTGTTGTTGACAACACGTAAAGACAATGCGTATGTGTGTAAGTCTAGGTGCGTGCATATCTCCCAGACAAAGCACGTGAAACCATGTTATTGTTTCTAAAAATACTTTGACCAATCAGATGCTATATATATATATATCCCCGGAACTCACATATGTGACCTCTCCCGATTTGACCTTACACGGCTGACCCTGTGAGCTGGACTGTGCAATGCTGTTCCAGAAATAAATCAAGAAAAGGTGAGTGGCAAGTAACAAAGGCAGGTTTTGCATGGAACATTTTGACAAGTATCAAGAAAACAGAAACAGCGGAATTTAGATAAAAAGCGATTAAATGTAAACAACGTTATCGTCAGACGATGTACTGAAGTGAAGGAAAGAATTCGCTATGTGTCGAGGAGGTGTGTCTGTTTGTGTCTGTTGGTTTTATGCATATCTCAAATACTATTCAGAATGAAACACGAACAGAGGATACAAACTGTGCAAATGCAACATCACTTTCGTCTGTTATTTCCAAGTCTAAGTTCAATGATCGGATTGAAAATAGCTTGATTATTACGAGTCTCACGGCAAGGGAGGTAACTCTCTTTCGAAAACTGCATTTTGGACATCGTGTGGTACGTACAGGTTCGAGACGCCCTGAACAGAGATTTTTCCGATTCTGAAAAATAAAATCTTATATCTATTATTAATCCTTGATACTATGAAAATAAATGTCTGGAATATTCTGACTGCATGTAATCCATTACTGTTACGACTTAGAGACATAATAACGTAAAATATTTTCCCCTGTTCATTTCACAGTAATGTAATTTAATAATGTTATTTGTTGTGCTATATATTCATATGTAGAAATACATTCACGGTTATTTTAATTTAGAACGCATCATTTTAATCACAAATGCTCAAGAAATGTCACCAGAAACATCAATTTATCCTTCATCATAAAATTCCACGACTACTATACAAAGTGTATTTCAGCCTCTCAACAGTTCACAAAGATAACTATACTTGTAAATAATTATAGTAATAGTGATGAATAATATTTCGACCGGAACCCAACGACAGTATAAACTTATACCTTTTCTTATAGTTACGCAAAATTACTATGATTACATCTTAAATTTCGGGGCGGTGGGGTAGCCTAGTGGTTAAAGCGTTCGCTCGTCACGCTGAAGACACGGGTTCGATTCCCCACATGGGCAAAATGTGTGAAGCCCATTTGTGGTGTCCCCCGCCGTGATATTGCTGGAATATTGCTAAAAGCGGCGTAAAACCATACTCACTCACTCACTCTTAAATTTCAGATTACGGATGTGGTGATTCAGCTGATTGGATGAGGTTGGAATTGTCAGTGTGACACCAGGATAACTTGTGTATAAAGGAATTAAATGATTAATCTTAATAATGCCCTTTCAAATAAATTAAAGTCAATTTAAACATATATTGGATTTTTTTCATCATATGTTGTGTTCATCTCAAGCAGTTTGCATAAAGGGTTATCCAAAGGACTTGGTGTGGCGAAAAGGCAATTGTTTTTTAACATGCATACTCATAAATATTAATTAAGCACCATTTGAATCAGAGGGCAATTTTTACTGGAATGCACATGTAAAGCACGTGCTTCACACATATCAAAAGCTATGAGTCAAGGACATTGGGTTATAAATTTCAAAATTGCAGTATTTGCACGGTACATTTCTGAACTGATTTAGAGGACTACAATGCCAACAATTAACTATTCTTCGCATGGCAAGATGTAGACTTTCCGATATACGCGATGGAATGTTATTGGCATACATGGTGCGGGGATGTCCTGTCGCAATATCGGTGTTGACTTCAACACACGAGTTTTAGTCGACGCGTGAGGAAACACGTGGCCACCGATGAGTGTGTGAGTTTAGATTTACGCCGCACTCAGCAATATTTCAGCTATATGGCGGCGGTCCGTAAATAATCGAGTCTGGACCAGACAATCCAGTGATCAACAACATGAACATCGATCTACGTAATTGGGATACGATGACATGTGTCAACCAAGTCGGCGAGCCTGACAACCCGATCCCGTTACTCACCTCTTCAGACAAGCATGGGTTACTGAAGGCCAATTCTAACCCGGACCTTTACGGGTCGGATCGTTCAAGACCTGGAAGATCGAGGAAGACCAAATACCCTGAGTGGAAATCTACTCAGTACCACCTGAAGGAGGCTGCGGGCTGCTGGGCTGAGAACACATCTTCCCTCCCCCACAGCAGAGTGTCACATTCCGACGGTTATCAGAGCCTTGTGATTTTCCGTTTACTCATAACAGTGTCACAATGACATATTCACAAGATACTTTAGATTAACGGACAGCTGTGATACGTTTGGGTCTGTGGTATGCTGCGGTGTAGTTATCGGTGATTGCGTGCCACGTGAACCCACACTATCACATGAGTCAAGGTCACCAACAGTCGCAATATGCGGTGTGTATAACAAGTGGCCTCGCACTTGCTTCGACACAACTTCGTGTACAGCGCTGTGATACACACTACAGACGTTAGGCGCTATCAGCCTTTTCCCGCGACTCGCATAGATTCATATTGGTCAATACAACTGTCACAGGTCTGTTTCTCTAGGTCCGAACGATGCCGATATTCCAGACATGCGCAGTGCTTCTAGACGGCAAGAAGGAAGTTTACCGGAAGGGGGAGACAGTGACGGGATCGTTAGTGTTGGACGTCACAGAGGATGTCACAGTGAAGGGGGTCCGAGTTTACCTGTATGGGGAGACGCTGGTCAAGTGGGACGAGTTCTCACCTGGGAGTCTTGGAGGAACCAAGGATTACATCGCCAAAGAAAAATATTTTGGACTTGTTTATACAGTATTTGGCAAGAAACGTAAGTTGAAGAAATTTCACGTTGCTTAGAGTTAAACTATTTTCTTATCGAGTCTTTAAACAACCTAATAAAAAAACACAATCTTTAAAAATCAATTTACACTTGGAAGGAAGTGTTTGTAAATTTACTATCTTAGAAAATATGCTTGTAAATATTACTATCTTAGAATATATATTTGTAAATATTACTATCTTAGAATCAATGTTTGTAAATATTACTATCTCAGAATATATGTTTGTAAATATTACTATCTTAGAATATATGTTTGTAAATATTACTATCTTAGAATATATGTTTGTAAATATTACTATCTTAGAATATATGTTTGTAAATATTACTATCTTAGAATATGTTTGTAAATATTACTATCTTAGAATATATGTTTGTAAATATTACTATCTTAGAATACATGTTTGTGTTTCTCTTAGCATATGTGTTTATGTTTAGTGATTTGTATTCGTCCTTGTGTAATTATTAATGATGGAAACAAATTCGGTACGGTTTAGAAAGAATATCCACAAATATAGAATAGAATTATGGTTTTCTTACTTCTCGCCTAATTTCCCAAGATCATTACATGAAGGCAAAGTAACATTTTTACTTGGACCAGAAAGTACGTATGAGAAATTAAATATAGAGAAAATACGTTTTTTCAAAATTTTATTCTCACGTTTACAACTAGCCTTGCTCCAAGGCTGTACTGAATACAAGCCAATGGATGTATAGTAATTCTATCCTTTAAAGATGCACGTCTCGATCGGCGGACAGTACATCTAAGGACACAGATCTGATATATATATTTCTTTTAGAAAGTTTAATTCAAACTATTAATTATTAACATAGAAACTTGTGCAAGTCTAATCAACTACATAAATTATGTTTTGAACTAAAACTAAGGTATTTACAAATATTCATTTACACTTCTGTTTGTGCACCGAGGCAGACCCTGATTTGTATGTTAATTCTTTCAAGGCCATGTATACGGAATTGAAGGATACATTCAGATCAATCAGTAGTTAAAGGTCCTTCACACTTATTTCGAATTGACAGGAATCAAGGAGAATCAGCCAGAAAAAGAATATTTCCAAAATTCGAACCGCATTCGGGAGAGAGTGTTTAAATAAACATTTTTTTTCAAGCTTTGTAAGAATGCTGTTGGAATACTTAGAACGCACCTCGAACCCGCCTCTATTTATTCTTACTGATTCCAAATGTGCTAGATCACGAATGCAGTTCGAATGAATCGGAATACAGTAGGAATATCTAGAACGCCGTTAGAATACACTAAGAATACTTAAAATGAATTTCGACTGCAGTACGAGTCCGTTTCGATTGCTGCGTGAATAGCACTCGACTTTCAGTTGGAACGTACCTCGAATGCTGCACGAATTTACATAGAATGCATTCAGAACCTTCTTGGAATGGCCCCCGAATATGGTTCGAATGTTAAAGAATTAAAACAGAATGCAGCTCAAATATTTCAAATGTCCTTCAAATGCACTTAGAATGTAACACGAATGTCCGGTATGCATCAAGAATGCTGCCGGAATTTTCCACGATGGGGTATAAAAACCGGTTGAATCTGGACTATTCATCAGTCACTGCCCATAGAGTATGGAACACCCGGACCAAGTTGCGGTGCTCTCGATTGCTGTCCTCCAGCAAGCCCAGATTGAACGAGATGTGGAAAAGAAACAGGAGAAGACCCAGGAGATTCCAGAACAGACCATGGCTGACAGAGGAAAGGAGGAGGCTGTTTGACATTACACAAGACTGATGGAAGAGCTCAGAGTAGGGGACACGCAATCATTCTTCAACTACCTTAGGATGGAGCCTGCCATGTTTGATGAGTTGGTGCAGAAGGTGGGACCAAGAATACAGAAGCAGGATACATATATGAGAAAGGTGCTACCTCCAGGCTTGAAGCTAGCCATCACATTGAGGTTCCTGGCTTCAGGTGATACCCCAGCATCATGTACAGCTTCCGTGTGGCAAGGAACACAATCAACCTGATCATCTCAGAAGTATGTAAGGTCATTTGGGGAAATACAAGGATGAGGTTATCATCTGCCCTACCACTCCAGAAGAATGGACACCCATTGAAGAGGTATTCAGAAACAGGTGGAATATACCTCATGCCGTAGGAGCTTTAGATGACAAATATGTGGCCATTAGGAAACCTTCCAAGGGCAGCTCATTGTACGACAACTACAAGGGCTTCTTTTCTGTGGTCCAGTAGACCTTGTGGGCGGACGTTGGTGCTTACGGAAGTATGTCTGATGCTCAGATCTCCAACAAGTGCGAGCTCAAGGTTTGTCTTGAAGACGGGAGCATAGGATTTCCTCATCCGTTCTCCTTACCACAAGATGACTAGCGTATGCCATGCTTTATTCTGGGAGATGATGCCTTTAGATTAAGAGCCTTCTTGATGAAACCGTATGGTCATATGACTCTCCAGAGAGACGAGAGAATCAACAACTACAGGATCAGTCGGGGCCGACGGGTAGTGGAAAATGCATTTGGAATCATGGCCCACAGTTGGCAAATCCTCCTCACCACCATGCTGCCAAGGCCTTCCGTTGTGAAGGACATCATTGTATGGTGTGTCTGCCTGCACAACTTGTCCTAATCTCCACAATGGTATGGTGGATGAGGAAGATGAGCAGCACAACGTGGAGCCAGGTGGCTGGAGACAACTTGCGCAGCTTGAAGGTGTGAATGATGTCTGAAGTTTCAGTGACGTTTTTAAGGGTATTTGGCGGTGTTCTGATGACTCCAGGGCTCATTTGAAGAGCATTCGAGACTTTCTGACTGTATTCGAGGTGCATTCGATGTACATTCGAGCTGCATTCCAAGGGCAATCGAAATATTCCGATACGTTTGAGGAGTATTCCACCTAAATTCCACCAGCAATCGAAGTACATTCGAGGCGCATTCGGGACATTCTTGCAGGATTTGAAGTGGCTTGCTTTTTCGATTCTCCCTCGAATACGTTCAGAATACTTAGAATGCAGTAAGAATACATAGAACGCAGTTAGAACGCACTTCAAATCCTGTTCGATATTTTTCCACTTCGAATGTACCTCGAAAGTTTTGAACATGTTCAAAACATTCGGGCATGTTACAAGAATTGACACGAATAGTTGGAGTGCATACGGAATGGAGTAAGAAGTTTTAGAATGCAGTTCGAATTTCCAGGAATCTCCAGGAATTTTCATTCCGACGGCATTCCGGCTCATTCCGCCTCAAGTGTGAAGAGGGTATTATAGTTACAGTTCTTCCTCAAAACTGGGCGTATTAGACAGGCGATGAACTGTCATTAGACAACATTATCTGAGTCAGACGATAACTCCAAACAGTATCTATGACGTAGGTCAACTCGGGTTTGCTCTGTAAACTTAGAGCATAGGCTTTAAACCAGAAGGTGCACAGGATAACAGGAGAAAGGCAGCCTTGAATATGAACAGCCCGGTGATTGTGTCTATGCACAATACGATGTGCATTACGATGACCCATAATCTCGAAGGTCTTTCTACGAAGCATTTTCGCAGGTTTCAGATTACCACCTATTTCCTTTTTTTGGTGGTGGGTGATATCAAAGTATACTACGTTGGTTAATATTCCTTACCTAGTTTGATAAGCCTACAATTACAATCAGGTGCACCGTTGATTGTTGAAGACGTAATTCATAAACAGTTAATGTTATGACGAACTCAAAGGGACCACTAATGTTAGTTCGTAATAATCCTTGTACGTTATAGGTATTTTGACGGAGATATAAAGCATGTGGAGGAGCAAATAAAAATAATATTTATAAAATCCTGAATCCCAAATGTGTAGTTTAGCACAGGCTTACGGAGAGCTACAAACTCTAAGTGGATCGGACCCGTGAAGATCCGGGGTAGAATAGGTCTTCAGCAACCCATGCTTCCCACAAAATGCGACTATGCTTGTCGTAAGAGGCGACTAACAGGATCGGTTGGTCAGGCTTGCTGACTTGGTTGACACATGTCATCGGTTCCCAATTGCGCAGATCGATGCTCATGCTGTTGATCACTTGATTGTCTGGTCCAGACTCGATTATTTCCGGACCGCCGCCATATAGGTGGAATATTGCTGAGTGTGTCGTTAAACAACAAACCAACCAACCAACAATGACACGACCAATCAGGAACCAAAGACCCTTAAATTAGTAGCCTGAAACACACAATGGGGTCCCGAGGTCCGACTCTGTCCCGCAGAGAAAATTGCTATGAGGTCCTGTGTGAGGTCCGGTGACAGCGTGCGGCCGTGATACACGCGTTGATTTGCTGGATGAGCGCATGACGCCCTCATCCTTGGAGACATCCAGTTTCTACCATGAAGATGGATTGGAATGAATATGCAAAACATCCTATTGTTCTTTGTCATTATATTGTTTTGGGACTTGGAAATCGATAACAGTTTGATACCATGTCTTTGTAAAACATGACCGCCATGATCACCGCCTTAGTCATTCCCGAAAAACAACAATGTTTCCTTGATGAGTGCCCCGAGGTGATGCAAATCTCGCAACTAACGCTATAAAGACGTGGCTGGAATCGCGCGACTAACACCACGAAGATGATGAAGACATGGATGGGAATCCGAGACCGGAGGCTTCAGACGGCGGTAATGGCCTCACAATTACTACAGCAATATAGGAATCATTTTTGTCATTCCACCTGTCACATGGAGTTTGCAAAATTCATAGAAACAACCAGAATGCAATTGTAGGTGACATTTCTTGTCGTTCTATGTGGCTTAATTCCCTAGCTGTCTTTTCACTGGTCCCCCTGCCAGACTTAATACCCCTCTATGCCATGGGTTGACAGACTCAATCACCCTGCAGGCAGCCAGCATACTTGAGGTGTGGGGGCAAGTCACAAGACCTGATTTTTTGTATGTTCCGCTTATAAATATTTATTTAAGGTTTCAATCAATGGAAAGGTGATTGTAAAACTGCCACTTCGGAAGCTTTTCAGGAAGGATATCGACATGAGATGTTTACCATGACTGGATCCCGCGAAGAAGGCGGTGGAGATCGTGACGTCACTGATTAGAAAGAGAAAGAGCGTGATGCCATTGGAGGAAATCTTTGGGAGATAGATCGGGAAGAAAGTTCGAACAAACAAACTGTCAAAGAGATCGAGGGTTTTGGGAGAACTACTGAAGACAAGTGTTTTCGTAAAAGAATTGGCACTGTCTGGAATCCCTATTTGGTAACTTTCCCGTACGAACGCTTTAACCACTAGGCTACCCCAACCCCCCCAGATTCATAGAAACTTTAAATAGCTCTGATTAGCATTGATTAATTAGGATATAAACCTATTCTGTTTTAAAATTAGAGGTAGTATAATGGAATTATTTAATAGATTTAAATTTGATATAAAACCGAACGCGGTAAAACTAAACTCACTCACTCACACTAAGAGGATCGGGCCCAAGTTCCCATGCTTGTCGTAATTTTCAATTGAAGCTGATCGGATGTTCCTTAGGACCCGACGTCGGGAGTAATTTCTTATTCGCTCAACTACTGATTCTCCTGGTCCAGATTCGTGTGCTCGAGTGGGATAACACTGACATCGGTGTTAAAACACCCACGCCTTCATTCCTTGTATCTGTCCATATTAACGACAAAATAATATTACATATGTCTCTCAGAAAACGCCACTGGACCAAACCACACCCTGACAGCGGGACGACACAAGTACAGGTACAAGTTCAACCTCCCAAAGGAAGGGCTACCGTCCTCCTTCGAGGGCGAGTATGGCGCCACCAGATACTGGGTCAAGGTTGAGGTGGACAGGCCGTTCCCCAACTTCAACCAGTGTTGGTACCGCGGCATCACCATACCGGACGACATCAACGTCAACGACTCTCAGTATAAGGTAACAGTATATCAAGGATCAGCACGATATGACTTTGTACCTTTTGAAGTTTACACTTTGTACCTTGTGAAACCTGAGGCGGACAATTGTCTGTCAAGTGAGTATTAAGGCATTCTGTAAGTCGCGCCATAGATCAAGATTCACAGAGACATATTTTGGTGTTCCGCGTCATGATTTACTGGTAAACATGGCGCAGGTAATAATCTGCGTCTGTTACTCTGTTGAAGCTTTATTTATAATGTGGGGCCATTTCAACATTCCACACTCCACTAAAATGTTATGTTCTTGGTGACAGGCATCAGTACGACGTCAGGCAAAGAAACAGGTTTCTAAGGCTCTTGGTTTAGGAGATGCTGGTTCACTGACCTTGACTGCTGCCACTGACAGGGGGAGCTTACTGCGCAGGAGAAAAGGTCGCACTTAAAGGTACGCAGTGTTCAAACCCTGGGTGACACGTCCGATCTGAATCGACTATTTTGACATGTTGTGGGTTGTTTACTCGTGTTATGCACTCATTTTTGTGTTTCAGTTGTGGTGAAGAACGAGTCAACGAAGGACATGGGGAAACTGAAGGCTCAGTTGGAGCAGAAAGTTGTCTTCACAGCCAATAATGAGACGAAGACTCGGCAGAACGTTATCAGGATCCTGGAGGGGAACTCCAGTCATGAAGGTTGGTCATACTGAAAGTGATTGTTTGTGTGTTAGGTGTATCATAATAGGAGCTGAAGAAGGAAAGTCGGTTATATACGTGATGAAGGTTGGTCAGCTTGACGCCACTGAAAGTGATTGTTAGTGAGTAAGATGAATCATATCAGGACCTCAAGTAGGAAACACCGTCCACAGTGACGCAGTTTGTATACGTTCCCAACGTTGGCAAAAATCTTGACCACGGAATGTTTGTATACGTTCTCCACGTTAGCAATAGCCCTGATCACGGAATGGTGCTGAGTATCATGTATGTATCATGTATCTCCTGCATCAGCAGTATCAGGACTCATGTAGCAGGATGTATCAAGGAGTTGAACCCAAGTCAGGCACGGTGGACAGCTTCAGGATACAAGGACTAGAGGCCCTTATGTTACACATCGGTTCAACACTGTCGAAACGCTTTTGGCTGATACCAAGAACGACCATCTCAGGACGAAAACTTTGAACGAGACATCTAAAGACGTTAACGTTTACAATTCAAAACCTTAACATGCTTTCCTGTTATCAAGGGAGAGGAGCGGGTGTGGAACAACCAACTGCTGGACGTAGACGCCATTCCACCGTCGACGAAGACCAGATCCTGTCACATCATCGCCGTCAGCTACTACATCAAGGTAGGCCACTGCCCTCAGGTCAAGTTGTGTTTTTCTTGTGTTCTCATACTACAAAATATATAAGTAATATTTGTCATGAAGGACCATAAGTTAGGTGATATGTTTTCTGACAGATCTCCAACCGCCTTTGCCCCGTGGTAACATTAGAAAACATAGTGTCATGAAAAGAGAAAAGATGGGTGAGAGACCCAACTCTACCTTCACATCAATCTATTTGTGCCACTGTGTTGTGTACTGGTTTGCAGCCTCTGTTAGGTTCGAACACCAAAATTTGCAACGACTGAAAGTTTTGGTGCTTCAGAACCATTTCTCTTATTTCAAATAAAATGGTTAACGTCAAACATCCCGCGTCCTCAGTGTTATCTTCCAAGAGAAACTGCTATACCGTTATAGAACTAATCCAAACAACCTGAACACTTATAATGCCTTAGATAGTGGTCAAATGTAAGTTAATTTATATTTGGGATTACACTTTCTCTTCCATTCAAGTTTCTTTTCAATTCAGTTCCAATTCTAGTGCTTCTGGAATTCCATCCAGGATTAGAACCCACACTCTCAGAGTGAGACACTTAATCACCAGCACAAATTCAGCGATCTAACCCAAAAAGACAGTAAATACATTTAGTTTTGTCAACCAGGTGCTGGTTGAGGTGCCTTTGGTTTTTAACCTTGAGACCACCCTCCCCATCACTATCGGCACCATACCGTACGGCCACACCCCAGCGAGTGTGAGAGAGTCATAAAAAGAGACTACAAATACACTCAGCCGCCTCTGCTGTACTTTACTGAGAAAATGTAATCCCAAGCATAACATGTTTCACTTATTCCCGAGAAGACAGTAAATACATAGTTTTATCAAACAGGTACTGGTTGAGGTGCCTTTGGGATTTAACCTTGAGACCACCCTCCCCATCACTATCGGCACCATACCGTACGGCCACACGCCTGCTGCTGGTGGAGCTACTTCAGGCGCTAGCACAGGTAAGTCAAGCCAGTCTCCCAGACTCACCAGAATGCACATAGAAAGCACTCCTTCACTCTAGAATGATTCGGGAAGTCTTGCCCCGAAATAAAGAATTGTTCTGGGCTCCATTTAGATTAGATTGTTTTAGATACATTTCTTTTGAGTGTCGTGCAATAGCAGCCAAAGGTCATGTCCCAAGTCCGCCCTAAGATACAAAGACCAGTCCTAATTTATTGTTTCTGGTTGTGTCAGCTTATGTCAACTATGGTGACGTTTGTTGGTCTTTAACGGATTTCTTACAAGGTCTCATAAGACCCTCTCGTTTGAGTGAGTGAGTGTGTGGTTTTGGTTTTACACTGCTTTTAGCACCATTCCAGCATTATCATGGTGGGGAGCACAATAATTGGCTTCACACATTTTACCAATGTGGGGATCGAACCAGGTCTTTGGTGTGACGAAACCTTCAACTAAAAGGCTATTCCACAGCACCGTTCTGGTTTGAATCAAAACCAGCGAAAGTGACATTGACACTAATTAACATGTACCATCGTACATCGTTCGTCTTCATTGTGGATCCTTTCAGAGATTGATGCATCCAGTGACATAACCTACACCAAATGCAACCGGGGATTCCATGTCTGCCGGAAATCGGAAGGGAATTTTGTGAATTACAACTACATCCCCATGTGTGCCTACGTTGTGAACTACACCTTCCCCCCTCCCCCTAGCCCTGCCGGTGGTGCTGTTGGGACACGACCCGATGGTAGAGCTGGAGGGACACGCCCTGCTGCTGCTGCTACTGCAGGACCACGCCCTGCAGCTGTCGCCACCAAGGCACAACCCAAGCCGGTTTCTCAAAGCAGGAAGGTTCTTCCAGCAACCTTTGTCCAAGCTCCATCTCCTGTCCCAGCTTCCTTCCAAGCCCCTCCCCAAGTCCCGCCACAAGCCCCACCCCAAGCTTCCGCTCTCCCGATGGAGCTGCCCCCCTCCTATGAAGATGTGCTGATGATGGACAACCCAGCTGCTACTACAGAAACTGCTGTCACAGTAAGTAGGCAGAGGGTAGGGAAAATATCCTTCAGCAGCTGCGGATCTGAAAGGGTCAAAATGTGTTCTGTGCCCTTTTCGAACGGGACACATCGAAACATAACTTTGTCTGCTTTTAAGAGCTCGAACATAATGAAATGAAACCATTGTCATTGAGTATGAATAGGTTTGTGTTTTTAGTCCTTATCTTCAAAATTGACTTATAATTATACATTTATGGCCACTATTCATATTGTCTTTTTTCGGTTTCTAGCCCGAGATGGCAGATAAGCCGTATGGGGTTCTTTTCCTTCGGTTCCCAGACACCAGTGTTCAGGAGTTCAGAGACACCATTGGGAGAGAACAGCAGAGTCTTGCAGAGTGTGAGGGAGAAATCATTGCATTTGCGCCACAGGTGATAAAAAATTATGTTATCCATGAATCGAAATTCCCCTTGAAATCATTTGACGCACAACCTCCGACGCACGTCAATCGACGCTATTGGGCCAACGATGTTGATAGGATCAGGATTAAGAGTTTCGTACATACTGAAAGAACAATGGAGATGTTTTGAATCCCACGGGTAACATATGATACTGTATATATCAAATGTGTCAGCAGAACGCTGTGAGTGAGGTTGGTTTTACCTTGCTGAGATCAATATTCCAATGTCAATGTAATCAGATTTTAGTGCTCCCTTCCGCTGAACAAAGATCTCCTCAGGACATCTCATTACATTTCAGTGAGTGAGTTTACGCCGCATTCAGCAATATTTCAGCAATATCACGGCGGGGGACACCAGAAATGGGCTTCACACAGTGTACCCATGTGGGGAATCGAACTCGGGTCTTCGGCGTGACCACTGGGCTACATTTCACGTCATAACGACCAATAAAATGAGTGATACGATGACGACATTAGCCATTATCACAAATAGCTTACTTTGTGATACTGGTTTCAAAATTACAATAAAGGCTACAATACGCTAGAACTTCGCTAGTTCGGATAGAATATATACGAAGGGTGTGCCAGTAGCAAACCAAATGTTGATAAAAGTATTTTACCTTAGACTTTCCGAAAACATAAAATGTTCGTTTAGCATGCCTAAATGTCCTAAAAGATGTCCTAAAATATCATAGGTCCTACACGATCATAACGAATGGCCAGCACGAACGTCTGTCGCTATTTTGAAGTTCCCGTCTGTGGAGGTGGGAGCTGATTGGTTCAACAAGACACCAGGGGTCGTTGATCCAAAATGGCTGGGAACCTGTGACGCCATTGTTGGAACAATGAAGGAACAGTTCAGAGAAGGTGTGCAAATGTTTGATATAAATGGTCCTCTGATGAAAAAGCATACAAGCTCCCTTGAAAACTGAAATTGGTATGTTTGAAACTGCGATCGGCAATATTCCACTTAATCAGGACTGTCTGAAATACTCGAACCTGGACCAGGCAAACACGTACAGACCCGTGCCAGTTATATTCGGACACTTGACGTAATTTCCATAGACTTACATGCTAATATAGTGTAGCTTAAATAATTTTCATGAATTTAATTTTCGTAAGATCCAAGTCAAATTTAGCACATTTGTGAGGAATCATCTTACCTACAGGCACATAATTTCTGTTTCATTTTCCGTTGCGTATTTATTGAATGGAAACAATTTTATTGACATATGTATAGTGCCGTGAACTCCTTTAGCATGTCGGCCTATGGGATTGTGCATTGTGGAACCATACGTAAGTTATATGTAACATTGTTTCATGATAACTGTTCCTTATTGATACATGTGAAATATACCATCACCATTATCTGAGGCCTTCTTTATTGACAGCTAACCGCATCTTTTCAATGGCAACAAGCACATACAAGCTACCAATGCAAAAAGCCAAAATCAACAAATACTGCAAACTGTCTCCTCAGAGGATGCGTCCCTTCAGGTAAGAACCACTGCTCTCAGTGATTAAAATGAGAGAAATTCATCCTTGATACACTACACTGTCGTTTCATCTTGTTTTCACGCATCTGCAGCCTTCAAAAATGTTTCAAATTGTTTCTCAATATTCAGCGTGAAAGGTATGTTGCTTCAGTTATGAACGTATTGTGAGTGCGAAGGACAAGCACGGACATTCATAAATACATACTTAGCATATAATTTATGATATAAAGTGAGTCACTCTAAGCCAGCATATTACCTCTGCCACTGGCCACAAAAATGTGACGATTCGTCACATCTTGCAATGTCCATTCAATATAATGTACAGATTTCTTTTACTCTTTTATTTTTGACGAGTCTACACATCTCACTAACCATCTTTAATAGAATGGTTAAGTTTCACTGAGAAAATATCCCAAAACATGTAACACTATTTCGATTTGCGTAGCGATCCTTTGTTTACATAGGTTGTACGGCTCCACGTGCACTCATCGAAGCCGACGGAGAGCAAACGATGCAGCCAGTTTGATATCTAAATATGTACTGTCATATACCTAACTGTCGCAGTTGTGGAAGAATATATATGTAACAATGTAAAACATTATGAAGAGAGCGCCGAAAAGCTTTCGTGAGCCCAGTCTCTTCTTATTATGAATATGCGCGTTTGATTACAAACAAGAGAAAAGTCCGGTCACGTGATATGCAAATTAGCCTGTGGCAGTGATGTTATGTTAAGTCATCGCTGTGCCGGAGTGTGAAAGAGAGTAAGTTGGGTATTACGCAGCTGTTAGCACTGTGCCCGTGATATAACAGAGGGGGACACCAAATATGGGCTTCAGACTTTGTACCCATGCGAGGAATCGAACCCGGGCCGTTAGCGTCACGAGTGAACGCTTTAACCACCAAGCACCTATGACATCTAATGACAGCGATTTTGGTTGTTACAGACTGTTACAGACGGGGGTGCTTCTGGTTTCTTCTCCAAAGTTCACCACATTACGAGGCAGCTGGGTGGAAGACAAAAATTACCTCACGGTGACTCAGTGGGAGACTATGGATCTTTACTTCGAGTACAGAATCAAAAGAAAAACCGGTAAATATGCTTATGATTAACTTTCAGGAATCGGAGAACAGAATTTGGTAATACGCAGTCTTCAAAACAACAATATTTCTTTCACACATATTGATTCATTCATCTCACTAAAGGAGTGGTTTAGGCCCCTGATTATAAACATACCCTGTGTCTACTCTCAGATTAAAGCATTGCATTTCTTCCACAGGTCAATTTAAAGAATGCTATGGTTTGCTGAGGGAAATAGCTGACGTACGGCCAGCTATTATTTTCCAATCGGAGGATTTGTCTCTCTTTCAAATGACATCAATACAAACGACTGAGAGATCTGACAGTCCGGCAGTTGATTTCCAGTCACAGAATCCTCAAGCTAGAGCTGAAAGCAATGCTTCAGGGGATGTGAACGAGGCTTCAGGGGAACGACAGGTAGAGTCTACAAGATCTGAGAGTCCAGCAGTGGAGGTGCAATCGGAGGATATCGATAATGATGTAACTCAAACCCAAAGCGAGGCTACGGGTGATGGGAATGAGGCTGACGGGGAAGACCAGGAAGAATCTGTGGACATAAAAGCCACAATAGTTGACTTACAGTAATGTATTTGAAGATTTGCCGCAGGACTTTAATGCCTTCCAAAAGGTTTAATGTGCAATTACAAAGGACATTGGCAGAAAGGGACGTGGTGCTTGAGGTGAATGTGTTGTTTGCTGAATCTGATGTCCAGGGAGGGCTGGGGCCTATTGACATATTGCAGCATATGTATAGTAATGGCCGATTGAGAAGTCGTTCATCTGTCTTTTCACAAGCACCTGTTCATCCTGTTGAGCAGACACCATTTGTTATACCCATTCTGATGGAAGGATTTCAGTGAGATTCTGGAACTGGAGGCAGGTTTCTGACATGACATGAAATATGTGTCCAAGGAGTGTTACTCTCTGTTGCTGCGACCTGTAATTAGTGTGCTTCTGACCCGTAAGGAGGGTGCTTCAGACCTGATCTCAGAGTGCCTGTGACGTGTAATTAGAGTGCTTCAGACCTGTTCTCAGAGTGCCTGTGACCTGTAATTAGTGTGCTTCAGACCTGATCTCAGAGCGCCTGTGACCTGTAATTAGTGTGCTTCAGACGTGTTCTCAGAGTGCCTGTGACCTGTAATTAGTGTGCTTATGACCTGTAATTAGTGTGCTTCTGACCCGTAAGGAGAGTGCTTCAGACCTGTTCTCAGAGTGCCTGTGACTTGTAATTAGTGTGCTTCAGACCTGTTCTCAGAGCGTCTGTGACCTGTAATTAGTGTGCTTATGACCTGTAATTAGTGTGCTTCTGACCCGTAAGGAGAGTGCTTCAGACCTGTTCTCAGAGTGCCTGTGACTTGTAATTAGTGTGCTTCAGGCCTGTTCTCAGAGCGTCTGTGACCTGTAATTAGTGTGCTTATTACCTGTAATTAGTGTGCTTCTGACCCGTAAGGAGAGTGCTTCAGACCTGTTCTCAGAGTGCCTGTGACTTGTAATTAGTGTGCTTCAGGCCTGTTCTCAGAGCGTCTGTGACCTGTAATTAGTGTGCTTCTGACCCGTAAGGAGAGAGCTTCAGACCTGTAATTAGTGTGCCTGTGACTTGTAATTAGTGTGCTTGTGACCTGTAATTAGTGTGCTTCTGACCCGTAAGGAGTGTGCTTCAGACCTGTAATTAGTGTTCCTTTGACCTGTTCTTAGAGTGCCTGTGTAATTAGTGTGCTAGACTAACAACTAGTCTCTGAAATGAACATATTTTACTGAAAAAAGTTCATAGTAAAAAAAAAATATATATAATGAAAAGGAGCCCTGAGACTTTCTTCATTTTCAGAAGCTGAGGAAATCTAGACTTGCCACAATTTCTAGACTTGTGTGGGCTTTCTTGGATATATTTGCTTCAGGGTCTGTACGAGAGACTATTAGTGTGCCTGTGGCCCCTGTAATTAGTGTGACTGTGACTCTCTGTAATTAGTGTCCCTGTGGATTGTAATTAGTGTAACTGTCACCTGCAATTAGTGTGCCTGTGACCCTCTTAAATTCGTTTCCCCGTGAGTTGTAATGAGCGTGCTTGTGAACTGTAATTAGTGTGCTTGTGACCGGTCAGCGTGACTGTTACCTGTAATTTGTGTGCCTTTTCCTTGTAATTTATGTGACTGCACTACAATTGCCTGTGATTTGTAATGAGGGTGACTGTGATCATAGATTACTGTGACTGTGATCAGAGGTTAATCTTATTGCCAGAGGAGTTAGGTGCAATTGTGATCATAACAATGATTATCATGCAAAATATAGCAAAGGACATAGTAATTATTTCAGAAACGAATACATCTCACAGCTGTTATGGTTTACACATTCTATGTAATATACTGATTGATCATCCTGTGATTATTCCTGCTCTTAATAAAACTGTAAAGATCGATAAGCTGATTTGTTATTGATAGATGTTATAGCACATATTAGGCAACAGGCCGTCCTCAAAAGGAATCTCAGTCTGATTGGTCAGAGTATTTTAGCTGTTCAATCATGGTGTCCAACTGAGAGTTATCCAGGCATTCTTGTCTACCTAATCCAGTGTCTACGGGATGCAATACCTACATGACACAGTGTCGATGTGATGCAGTGTGAACAGGATGCAGTGTCAATAGAACGGTGTGTACCAGTTACATTTTCTGTTGGACACAGTGTCAATAGAACACAGAACACACAGAAAGCATAAGCTGATAACTTTTCTCACAGTTACTATAAATTGCTTTAAACATTAAAACTCCTAAAAATATTGCAATTTATCTTAACTTATACTTACCTGTATAAATTGTAAGTTTTCACCTGTCCATGTGCTATATTTTGCTTATTGAATTGTACTCTTGGTTATGTGGCCATAAATACTGAATAAAACTCTTCTTCTATAATTGCATCCTAAATTTCAGATTAAGGATGTGTTGATTCAGCTGACTGGATGAGGTTGGTATTGTCAATTTAACACCAGGGTAACAAGAGTATAAAGGAATTTTAATGTCCACATTACTGACTTGTATAATGCGATAATTGTTTTTTGGTAATATCCTTTTCAAACAGACGGCAATATTTGACTTTGTTCATCATATGCTGTGTCCAGCTAAAGTAGTCTGTATAAAGGCTCATCCAAAGGACTATCTGTGGTGGGCAGGCATTCGTGTTTTGACATGTATGCTCATGAACTTGAATCCAGAATCAAAACTATTGGTATAAGCAGGCGATCATACCCTAGCACACTGGAAAACATATGTAAAACATATGCTTCACACAGTATCTTATTAGGGGGCGCGGTGGGAGAGCTGGCTAAGGCGCCAGGCTAGTGATCTAGCGAGAATGAGGTGCCGGGATCGAGCCTACCTGTGACCGGGTGTAAAAAATCTTGGAGTCAACTTGTGCAGACTCTTTCAGTGTTGTCACAACTCCTAGTGTACAGTACACAACCCTGTGCACTTAAAAGAACCCACGAATCCGTTGGTATATGACCAGATGGTGGCCACATGGATACGTGCAAACACCTAGTTGCAGGTACAGCAACGTGCAGTGAACTTGGACAAAGTACTGTGACTATGTGTCCCAGTCCACCCAGCTGTGAATGGGTACCTCGTTAGGATGAGAAAGCCACAATAACTCGGTGCGCCTTGTGGCAGCAAGAGTTGTATATTCCCCAGGGATAATACGATGTGCCGTTGAGATTGACATCCAATGATCGAGGGGAAAATACCAGCGCCTTGAGCATGCACCAGTTGCGTGGATATGTGCGCTATATAAATATACTATTATAATAATAATAATAATAAAAAAGCTACGCGTCTCAAGTGCTGCCAAGCACATTGTGGAGTAAATTTCATAATTGCATTATGTGAACTGCAGTTTATTGAACTGACCTTAAGAACTACAGTGCTAACAATTCACTCTTCATCACATTGCACGACACAGACTTTCAGAAAGTACACCAAGGCAATTTCTTGGCAAACATGCTATGTTCTGTCGCAACATCGGTGCAACCAGCCTTGTTGATTACTGCTTATGTTCCACGGATCTGTTTGATATATATCATGACTTTCAGACTGATACCCGTTGTGAATGGCACCTTCTGCCGATTGTATTGACCTTTCGAACGGAAGCATCTCGTGACAAAGTTGACGTGAATGACAATGAAGAAATTCCTGTTCTTAAACTTAAATTAAAGGATCACAAGATAAACGATTATTATTTTCTTATGGTATTCATGACTCCACAAGCGATGTTCTGAGTAGTGTAGACGATGCTGTCTCCAAACTAACTTCCTGTATAACTCGTAGTGCAGAACAGTGTGGTATGAGAGTTTATGGAGGTTTGTCCTCTCAATCTCGTAGTGCTAGCTGAGATGACGAGGCGTGTAGGTACTTGAAACACCTTAAATACTCAAACGTGGACATGTTTAGGAAAACTGCCATCTCTTTCTATTGGACTGAATTTCGTTTATAAAGAAACTCGTATCGACGTCTATGTCGTCTGAAGAAAGAACCACACGAGGAGGAACAGGTTAACATGCTGTCTAGCAGCTGATGTAATTCCACAACATTCTGGAGTCAAAACCAAAAAGCAGCCCATCATATTCTATATCAGCGACTGAACGCGTGTCAGATTTTGGCACTGTTTTCACTACCATAAGTACTGACATTGATCAAGATCATCTCAATAAAGTCGATCCTTTTGTGAAAGAACATGATGATAAAACTTGTATTACCTGTAATGATGATGACGTGAACTACATATTAAACACTGAAATATCGAACGTCGAATTTATTCAGGCTATTGACAATCTCAACGTTGGGAAAGCGCCAGGACCTGATGCAGTTACACCGGATATGATTAAATGTTGTAAATCTGAACTGTTACCTTATTTTCATGTGTTATTTAATGCCACATTTACAAGTGGTAGATTTCCTGTGCAATGGACCAAGGGATTAGTGGTACCATTACCATTACCATTGCCATTACCAAAGCCTTGGAAGTTAATACTTACTGATATTATGAGTAAAGTATTTACATTTATTTTGAATAAGAGATTAATACTATTTTGTTCTTTGTATGAACAGCTGCCTGAATCACAAGCAGGATTTAGAGCTGGTTACAGCACTTTGGATAACATATATTTTACAGTGTTTAGTACAAAAGTATCTCACCAAGACCAAAGGTCGCTTTTATTCCTTGTTTGTTGATTTAAAAAAAAGCATTCGAATCTATTAATAGTAAATTATTATGGTATTCTGTATTGAAAAGATGCATTCATGGTAAAATATTTAATGTTCTTTTTTATATGCATTCAATGTAAAATCTGCTGTTAAAATAACCAAATTGTCAATATCGAAATACTTTGATAATTGAGTGGTGTGAAACAGTGATATGCACTCTGCCCTTTGCTGTTTTCATTATTTGTGGTAGAACTTGAAAATATGTTGTATGAATCCAATGTTAGGGGTATTTTTGTGGGCCAAGAATTTATGGATGTATTGTTATTATTTTTTGCAGATGACTTGTGTGTGTTTGATGACAGTGTTGTTGGTTTGCAGAGAAAACTTGATGTACTTAAGCAGTATAGCATTAAATGGGAATTAGACAGAGATTTTTATTTTTAGAAACGGTGTAAGCCAGAACATAAAATGGATGGATGTGTGGAATTCAGGTTAGAATCAACGTATGGGTCTTAAGCTAAAATCTTCTTGTTTAGAAAACAATAAAAATGCTAAACATACAGTATGTGTGAATATTTCTCCCGCTGAAGTGATCAGGTTAAGATATCAACGTATTATAATTATGTTGGTCTTAAGCTATAAATCTTCTTGTTTAGAAAACTAATAAGGCTTTATTTTCAGCTAAACACCTACAGTATAAGTTAAAGAATATTTCTCCCGCTGTTTTTTTTACATTTTTGATACACAGATAAAACCAATTTTAATTTGTTAAGTATGGGGATTTTCAAAAATTTAATATGTTGAACGTTTTCACATTAAATTTTGTAAATATGTTTTAGGTGTTGAGTATTATGTCTCAAATGATGCTACTTAGGGTGAATGTAGTAGACATGGTCTTTTTATTGATTATCATAAAAGATGTATTACATTTTGGTTAAAACTGTTATCAATGCCAACAATGTTATCTATTATGTAAAGCATCAAATGAATGTAATCGTATAACATGGGCATTAAAGGTTAAACATGTACTATTTAGTTATGACTTTGGTGTAGATAATTCAATAAGTAGGTAATAATCACATGTTTCTCAATACCTTTGTACAAAGACTTAAAGATTGTAATGAACAAAATGCGTACTCTGAAGTAAATTATGTAATTATACAGAATATAAATCTCTGTTGTCAATTGAATATCATTTGTGTGCTATCCCAGAAAGAGAATACAGAAGACGTTTGTGCTTATAACGTGAGCTCCTTTTAATGGTTAATATTGGTAGCTGGTGTGACTGTTGGCCTTTATACTGAATAACTTGAAATATCAACCACATTATTAGTCGACTTGTGAGGAAGCACGGGACGTTAAGTGAAGAATCGTTCTTGACCTCCAGTCCAATGATACATGCCAAAAAACAGCGCAAACAAATGAGAGTGGAAATCCCTTCTCTTCCAGTATCACAAACAGTAGACTGTTGGCCTGAGGACATAGTGTCCCTTCCTCAAAGATTGACACAGGCAGGAACGTCTGGTGTGGTGCAACCAAGAAAACCGTCATTTTAGGACAAGGTGAAGGGTTTATTGGTCTGATGAAAGTCGTTATCTTGTACATGTTATTGACGACCGTTGTCGTGTATGGAGACTTTGTAACGAGGCATATCACTAGGACTGACTGACTGAGTTTGGTTTTACTCCGCTTTTAGCAATATTCCAGCAACATCACGACGGGGAACACCAGAAATGGGCTTCACACATTGAACCCATGTGGGGAATCGAACCCGGGCCTTCGGTGTGACGAGCGGACGCTTTAACAAGGCTATCCCAAGTTAGAGCCAGAGGTTCCCTGTTCAAAATCTACAGGAATTTACGCAGGCACTCCATGAGGAATAGCAGAGCATTCCGATCATCAGACCTTTTCCCCCGCCAGTATGAGGAGGAAACTGCCAGATGATATCCGTGCATGGGGTGGCAGGTACTGAGGTAGTCGCCAGAGGTGGTCTATACAAATGAGAACAATCATTATTTGAGAGTTATGTGACAATCATATTTGTGGCCGTGTCATGGTGACCATACTTTTCGCCATTGTTGATTTTCACGTTTTCTGTGTATTCCTCTCAGATTGCTTGTATCCAGATTTCAATTTCAGTTTTGTTATCGTAATCAGAGTAATGTATATGTTACAGTTACTATGTTTATTAAGCGGAATTTGAAATATGCCCAGTTGTAGATATGTAAGACAAAGCGTTCAGACCAAGATCTCATCCAAGGTCGGATCCACAAAGCGTTTGTAGCTCTACGTCATTCGTAATCAATGACAAACTATACATTTACGGTAGCTCGAAACATTACGAACCCTTATTGGATCGGAACCCTGTTCTCTTTACAACGTGTTGTTTTCTTTTTCGTTTGACGTCAGTGAGTGAGCGAGTTGAGTTTTACGCCGCTTTTAGCAATATTCCATCAACATCACGATGGGGACATCAGAAATAGGCTTCACACATTGTACCCATTTGGGGAATCGAACCCGGGCCTTCAGCGTGACGAGCGAATACTTTAACCACTAGGCTACCCCCACCGCCCCCGTATGACATCAGGATAAGTCCAGTTGGTTGACATAGGTCAGAGGGTGGATGGTTGGTAGGTAGGTAGTCCAGTTGGTTGACATAGGTCAGAGGGTGGATGGTTGGTAGGTAGGTAGTCCAGTTGGTTGACATAGGTCAGAGGGTGGATGGTAGGTAGGGAGATGGTGCTGTATTTTATGGCCCACGAGAAGAAATTGCTGCATGTAATGAACGTTCGGTATAGTGTAAGTAAGACACGTGTGGATCAGTGTCACATTACGTCAGTTGTCATGTAACGTTCGGTTGTCAGAACGTTGTGATTTTCCGTTTACTCCGTGTACTCATGACAGTGACGTCAGTATGCGTTAACGCTGTTATTTAAAACCGAGGCCTAGTCACAAGATACTTTAGATGGTCGCACAGCTGAGATATGTTTGGGTCACGGTGTTCATATCAGGGGACAACACATCCCACATGAGGTACACTCACACTATCACAAGGGTCAAAGTCACAAACCTGTCGCAATATGCGGTGTGTATAAACAGCGGCCTCGCACTTATTCGATACAGTTACACACCCACTACACAACATCGTGTACAACGCTGTGATATATACTACCATCGTTAACCGCCGTTAACTTTCGTCTCGCATAGATTCACATTCGTCAATACAACTGTCACAGGTCTGTTTCTGTAGGTCTGAACGATGCCGATATTCCAGACATGCGCAGTGCTTCTAGACGGCAAGAAGGAAGTGTACCGGAAGGGGGAGACAGTGACGGGATCGTTAGTGTTGGACGTCACAGAGGATGTCACAGTGAAGGGGGTCCGAGTTTACCTGTATGGGGAGACGCTGGTCAAGTGGGACGAGTTCTCACCTGGGAGTCTTGGAGGAACCAAGGATTACATCGCCAAAGAAAAATATTTTGGACTTGTTTATACAGTATTTGGCAAGAAACGTAAGTTGAAGACATTTCATGTTGCGTAGAATTATTGTACTATTTTCTCAAGAAATAATCTGAAAAAAAATCAATTCATACTTGAAGGGAAGTGTTTGATAATATTACTATCGTAGCATATGTGTTTGTCTTTCTTTTAGCTTGTGTGATTATAGTTTTCTGATTTGTCCTCGTCCTAGTGTAATTGTGAATGATGTAAACCAGTTCGGTATGGTTTAGGAAGGGCGACAAAGTGTTTTTATTTACAATTATCGTTTTCTTCCTTCTCACCTCAATTCCGAAGATAATTATGGGAAGGAAGGTAACAGCTATTTTTGGACCAGAAAGTAAATTGAAGAAGTAAATTATATGCAAAATACGTTTTGAGAATTTTTGTCTCACGTCAACAACATACACAATGTTTTGAACTAAAACCAATTATTCAGAAATATTCATTTTGCACTATTGTTTGTTTCAAGATGATTTAATACGGGATTGAAACACATTAGCAGACCCGGATTCTGATGTTAATTCTTTCAAGGATATGTATTCAAATACATTCAAATTAATTATTAATTATAGTTACAGTTATCCCCCCCCAGGCTGGACACATGATGGACTGTGTCTAATCTGCCATGGGACATTGGAATGTATGTTATTAATATCTGAGTCAATATCAGACGACTGCTACAAACAGTATCTAGGAAGTAGGTCAACACTGGTTTGCTCTGTAAACTTATAGCATACAAAGACTTCAACCAGAAGGTGCACAGGATAACAGGAGAAAAGCAGCTTTCAACATGAACAGCCTGTGTACTATAAAAAAATTAATGTGCATTACGATGACCTAAAATTCACCTTTTGATGAAGTATTGTCTCATGTTTCATGTTACCACTTATTTCCATTTTGGCGTTGGATTATGTCCAAGTATAGGATGTAGGTTAATATTCCTTATACCTATCAGTTTCGTAAGGTCATACACCCCACCCCAAACCCTAACCACCCCCCACCCCACCCCCCCCCACCCCCCAAAGCAAAACCCCAAACAAACAAATAACAAACAACTACCCCTCACCCCGAACAACAAAATATAACAAAAATAAAATACAAAACAGAACAGAACAAAAACAAAATAAATTCAAATTAAACAAAAAAATAACAAAAAAAAAAAACACAAAACAACATGGTATCCGTTAGTTGGTTACAAACGTATGTAAATGTATTTTTCAAACTGTTCGTGTTACTAATTCATATTTTCACATTAACACAAGATCAAGACTCAGAAGCGCCACAATCGGCTGCTCCATAAAGCATACGTAATGTTACGAGCTATTGTAAGTGTATAGTTTGTCATAGACTAACGAATGGCACACGAACGCTTTGTGGATCGGGCCCCGGGATACCGTGCATGTCGTCAGAGTCACCTACAGTTGATTGGATCATTTCTTATTCACGAAATTATTGACTCTCCTTGTCCAGATTCGAGTTTTCGAGTGGTACAGATTTTGGCGTTAAAGCACCCACTTCTTCATACCTTGTATCTGTCCATATTAACAACCAAATAATATTACATATGTCTCTCAGAAAACGCCACTGGACCAAACCACACCCTGACAGCGGGACGACACAATTACAGGTACAAGTTCACCATCCCAAAGGAAGGTCTTCCGTCCTCCTTCGAGGGCGAGTATGGCGCCATCAGATTCTGGGTCAAGGTTGAGGTGGACAGGCCTTTCCCCAACTTCAACCAGTGTTGGTACCGCGGCATCACGTTACTGGACGACATCAACGTGAACGACTCTCAGTACAAGGTAACAGTATATCACTGGTCAGCACGATATAATTTTGTACCTTGCGATGCTTGAGGCGATGGTTGTAGACCCAGTTTCGCTTCCCGAGGCAGAAGTGAAGCCAATTTTGATCTTCCGCGTCATGCCAGGGCTGATATACTGGTAAACATGGCGCTGACAACAATCTGTGGTAAAACATTGTCACTCTGTTGAATCTGAGCCCATTTAAACTTTCCACACTCAGCTAATATGCTATGTTCTTGGTGACAGGCATCAGTACGACGTCAGGCAAAGAAACAAGTTTCTAAGGCTCTTGGTTTAGGAGATGCTGGTTCTCTGACCTTGACTGCTGCCACTGACAGGGGAGCTTACTGCGCAGGAGAAAAGGTCGCACTGAAAGGTACTCTATGTTCTATCTCTTGGTGACACGTCCAGCCTGGAGGAGACCCGCGAAGGTCCGGGTTAGAATTGACCTTCAGTAACCCATGCTTGTCGTAAGAGGCGACTAACGGGATCGGGTGGTCAATAAACTCACTCACTCACTCCAACTTGGAGGAACAATGTTAATATGCTGTGATCTTTTAAACCTATAGTATATGATCAATAATGTGCTTCAGTTGTGGTGAAGAACGAGTCAACGAAGGACATGGGGAAACTGAAGGCTCAGTTGGAGCAGAAAGTTGTCTTCACAGCCAATAATGAGACGAAGACACGGCAGAACGTTATCAGGATCCTGGAGGGAACACCAGTCATGAAGGTTGGTCTGCCTGACGCCACTGGAAGTGATTGGTGTAGGTGTATCATATCAAGGGCTCGTATAGGAAGACGTTGTATACTTTTTCCACCTTAGCAATAACCCTGATCACGCAAATGGTGTATCTTTTATCCTCCAAAACTGTGTTCCACAGGAGATATTGCTTGTGTGAGATCATACGATATCTCCTAGGAGATATCGTTTTGACAGTAGATTTTGTACAATGCCTTGACAATGCCCTGCCGTCATGAACTTGATGACGTCACAATGCTATGACATCGATGCACTGCAAGTCTAGTGGTAGTACAGTGTTCAAAGATGTACCGTTTTCATTGAAAAGAAATGAAGAGTGATTTTTGATGATAAATAGAATCTCACCCTCGTGTCTACTGATATCAATTATATCAACACTCGTTGGTAAAAGTAAAAATATCCTCGGCAAGCCTCGGATATTTGTAACTTTATCAACTCATGTTGATATATTTGATATCAGTAGACACTTGGTTGAGATTCTCAATGTATGTATCATGTATCTCATGTATCACCAGTACCATGACTCATGTATCAGGATAAATCAAGGAATTGAAACCAAACCAAACTGAACATTAAACTTCTACAGGAATGCCTGATGCGTAGAACGACCATCCTAGGACGAAAACCAAAATCTTTGTACATCTTTACAAAGTATATCCTAAACTGGATTTACACAATTTTTAAATATGCGTACCATCTCTCCTAAATATTGTCGGTGATATAAAAACACACATATGAGAACACCATGCAGCAGCCAATCCAACGCAGTCCAAATGAAAGCAAACATACAGATGCTCTATCTTGTGTTACCTTCCAGTGCTTTTGGTGTGCCATCGATTCTGACAAGTTCTGACATTGTTCAGGAGGGAAATCAGCCTTGGTCATGGCTTAGCGCTTGTTGAAATATTAGAAGACAGGTTCTGGAAAACCTGTGCAATCACCTTTTCAATCTAACTAACACCTATACAATTTGTTTTGCTGGAAGAGGATACAGATTTTACACAGCCTTTATGACGAGGGTTTAACTATTTTTGAATTCCTTAATTCTTCAGATCTGCCAAAAATGCTCCATATAATTTCTTGTCCTGTTTGGCCAGTTTACACATTGGAACGTTTATTTTAATGTCCTTTCCGTCATGTTTATTGTTTACATGCCGACGTCTTGTGTCTAAAGACGTTGACTTTTAAATCTTGAAAACCTTAACATGCTTTCCTATTGTCCAGGGAGAGGAGCGGGTGTGGAACAACCAACTGATGGAAGTAGACGCCATTCCACCGTCGACGAAGACCAGGTCCTGCCACATCATTGCCGTCAGCTACTACATCAAGGTAGGTCACTGCCCTCAGATCACGTTGGCTACCTTCATCATAAGCTTTTTGTGTAAAATATTAAAAACAATTTGCCATAAAGCACTATAAACTTGATGATATGTTTTCTGACAGATCTCAATCCGCCCTTACCTCGTGGCAACATTAGAAAACACAGTGTCATACATAGAGACTACACATACATGTACAGATGGCTGAGGAACAGGATTAGTGTCGATACTGTCAGTGTGAGGCACCCATCACCAGCACACACTCAATTTCACGATCTAACCCATTCAGCCGCCGTTGCTGTACTTTACTGAGAAAATGTAATCCCAAGCATAACACGTTTCACTTATTCCCAATAAGACAGTAAATACATTTAGTTTTATCAACCAGGTACTGGTTGAGGTGCCTTTGGGATTTAACCTTGAGACCATCCTTCCCATCACTATCGGCACCATACCGTACGGCCACACCCCTGCTACTGGTGGAGCTACTGCAGGCGCTAGCACAGGTAAGACTATTCTGTCTCCTACACCCACCAAAATACACTTAGAAAGGACACATTTTCAAGTCTAAAATGATTGGGCAAGTCTAGATTACCTCGACTCTAGGCTTGAAATTAGGTGTCGTGCAATAGAGGCCAATGTTGATGTCACAATTCGTCAGAAGACACAAAGACCAGTCACAGTGTATCTATTGTTCTGGTTGTGTCAGCTAATGAGTTTGTTGGTCTATGACTGATTTATTAAATTAATCTCATAAAACATTCCGGATTGGATGTGAGTATGGTTTTACGCCACTTTTAGCACTATTCCAGTATTATCACGGAGGGTGAAATAAGAAAAGGGCTCCATACATTGTACCCTGGGGTACTGAACCAGGTCCTTGAACTCATTAACTAATAGGCTATACCACAACCTTCATTCTGGTTTGAATCAAAACGTTGGGTTTTCTTTGACATTGACACTGATTAACATGAACCATCTAGTAGGTCTTCATTGTGGATTCCTTTCAGAGATTGATGCCTCCAGTGCCATAACCTACACCAAATGCAACCGGGGATTCCAAGTCTGCCGGAAATCGGATGGGAATTTTGTGAATTATAAATACATCCCTATGTGTGCCTATGTTGTGGACTACACCTTTCCCCCTCCTACACGTCCTGCTGCTGCTGCTTCAAGACCAACTCCTGCTGCTGCTTCAAGATCAACTCCTGCTGCTGCTGCTTCAAGATCAACTCCTGCTACCGCTGCCGCTACCGCAGGTCCACGTCCTGCTGCTGTCGCCACAAAAGCCCAACCCAAGCCGGTTTCTCAAAGCGGGAAGGTTCCTCCAGCAACGTTTGTCCAAGCTCCATCTCTTGCCCCTGCCCCTCTCCAAGCCCCTCCCCAAGTCCCGCCACAAGCCCCATTGCCAGCTTCTGCTCCTCCAATGGAGCTGCCCCCATCCTACGAAGATGTGCTGAGGATGGACAACCCAGCTGCTACTACAGAAACAGCTGTCACTGTAAGTAGGCAGAGTATGGGGAAAAATATTTTCCAACAGTTGCGGATCTAAAAAGTAAAAAATGCGCTTTTCGAAAGGGACACTTCTTAAGCAAAACTGTATCATCTTATTTACTCATGTTCATGTTGAAATGAAACTATTGTTGATGTTTATATTATTTTGTGTACTTGTTTAGTCATTATCTTCAAAATTGACTTTAATTTATACAGTTACTGTCACATATTTGTCTGTTTTAGTTTCTAGCTCCAACAGCTGAGGATCTAAAAGGTCCAAAGTGTCTGTTTTAATTGCTGTTTCGAACAGGATACATCTTGATCAAATTGTATCTGCTTTTAGGAGCTCGCACATGTTGAAATGGAACCATTGTCATTGAGTATATATAGATTGGTGCTTTTTGACTTATACTTGAACATCCATGGCCACTGTTCACATTGTCTGTTTTTTTTTTTATAGCCCGAGATGGCAGATAAGCCGTATGGGGTTCTTTTCCTTCGGTTCCCAGACACCAGTGTTCAGGAGTTCAGAGACACCATTGGGAGAGAACACCAGAGTCTTGCAGAGTGTGAGGGAGATATCATTGCATTTGCGCCACAGGTGATAAAAACATGTTATCCACGGATGGAAATTTACCCTTGAAATCATTAGAAACACTACCATCTCTCCACACCATTAGGCCAACAATGTTAATAGGAACAGGATTAAAATTCCAGTGCATTACCAATCGAAAGAACAAATGGGAATGTAACAATCCCTCCCTATAACATAGAAACTGTATATCTTGAATCAGTGTCAGTGGTCATTTGTTAGTCAGTGGTTTTAGTTTTACCTTACTTTAAATAATGTTCCAGTGTCCATGTAGTCGGAGTTTAGTGCTCCCTTCCGCTGTACATAGATATCCTCAGAACATCTCATTAAATTTGAACGACTAATGAAATGAGTGATAGGATGTCGACACTAGCCATTATTAGAATAGCTTACTATAGTTTTATGATACTAGTTTCAAAATGCCAATGCAGGAAAAAGCTAGAATATACTAGGCACATTAAAAAACTGTGCATACAAAAATTTAAAATCTAAATTTATCAAACCTGTGTAGACACATTAGGATTTAAACTCAGAGATTAGTGACATGTATCAAACATGCATGCACTTGCCACGTTCCGTGACGTCAGTGGGTTCGTCCTTGAGATGTGCAAGACGTTGTTTCACGTGCATTCCGGGAAAGAGAAACAGAGCAAATGAATGCAACACAATACTGTCGCTTTGGAAAGTTCAACCCCTGCCCTTGCGATCGTTCAAAAAATGAAACGGCTATTGAAACGCATAGCATGCCAAGGCTCACGTCTGCACAACGTCATGAGGCCATTGGGATGATCCGTGTGGGAATGTTCAACGACAAGTGGCTGCACATTTCCACTGCCACCGGAACACCATTTCTGCACTGGTGAGACGCTACCACAACACAAATGACGTCATCGATCGGCCACGTTCTGGACGTCCACGTGTAACAACGCCAAGACAGGACAGATGGATAAGGGTGACCGATCTTCGCCACAGGTTTCAGACTGCAGTGATGACTGCCCGAACCATCCCAGAACTTCGCCGTATCCACCCCAACACAGTTCGACAACGTTTACGTCATCACGGGATCAGACCACGACGTCCCGCCATACAGTCTATCCTGACACAACGTCATCGACAAGCTCGCCGAATGTGGTGCCGAAATCATGCCTGCAGACCCTTGTTTTGGTGAAGAAATGTTGTTTTTACAGATGAGCCCAGGTTGAACATTTCCCATAGTGATGGACGTCAACGTGCCTATAGACGCGTGGGAGAACGTTATGCACAGGCTTGTGTCTTGGAGAGGAATCGCTTTGGTGGTGGTTCCGTGATGATTTGGGGTAAAATAACAGCAAGCCAAAGAACTCCTTTGGTGATTGTTCAGGGCAACTTAACTGGGATGGGCTACAGGGATCAGATTCTTCGACCTGTGGCAATTCCTTTTCTGCAACGTCATGGCCCTGGGTTAACATTCCAACAGGACAATGCCCACCCTCATACGGCAAGTGTTGCTATGGATTTCTTGCAACACCACAACGTTGACTTACTGCCTTGGCCTGCAAATTCACCGGATCTTTCCCCGATAGAGTATGTTTGGGACGTGATGGATCGACGTCTACGCCGTCTTCCTCATCCGCCAGATAACGTCCTTGACCTTGCAACAGAACTTGAGAGAATCTGGCGTGACATCCCACAAGGCTTCCTTGCACGTTTGATAGGCTCTATGCGTCGTCGATGCACTGCTGTTCTCAATGCCGATGGTGGACATACCCGTTATTGAGCTTGTGACATGGTCGTTTGACCCCTGTCCCGCTTGTGGACTCGTGACGTCATTGTGATTGACTTTTCAATTGCAATTCTCCCGACTTGTTATGGTCTCATGATCCCTCCATTAAAGTTTATCTGTACCTTTGACATTGTTATCGTACTTATCAACTGGGATAATATTTTGACAATGCACAGTTTCTTTATGTGGCTAGGATAGAAAATATATGAGGGTGTGCCAGTAACCAACTAATTATTGATTAAATTATTTTCCCTTGGATTTTCCGATAGCATAAAATATAATGCTGGATATCCTAAAAGTTGTCATAAAATATTGAAGGTCCTTCACCAACCTAACGAATGGCCAGCACGAACATCTGTCGCCATTTTGAAGTTCCCGTCTGTGGAGGTGGGAGCTGATTGGTTCAACAAGACACCAGGGGTCTCTGATCCTCAATGGCTGGGAACCTGTGACGCCATTGCTTTAACAATGAAGGAACAGTTCCGAGAAGGTGTGCGAATATTTGATATAAATGTTCCTCTGATGAAAAAGCATACAAGCTCCCTTGAAAATTGAAATTGGTATGTTTAAAACTGCGATCGGCAATATTCCACTTAATCAGGACGGTCTGAAAATGCTCGAATCTGGACCAAGCAAACACGTAGCTTAAGCTGTGGGGGTGGAGGGGATTGGTCTCAGGGGTGGTTCCTACCTCTTCTTCCCCCTGATATATGACCACTCCTTTAATAGTATACAGTTAATTTATAAATGATATGAAAATAGAAGAACAGAACTGAGTGACGTATTGTTTTCACAACCTCACCCACCCCACCTCCCCTGATAATTCACCAGTCCCTTATGTGTATAACTATTGGTAACTGTTTGTTACCAATACACTTGAAATATGTCCGTACCATAATCTGATGCCTTCTTTATTGGCAGCTAACCACGTCTTTTCAATGACAACAATCAAATACAAACTACCAATGCAAAAAACCAAAGTCAACAAATACAGCAAACTGGCTCTTAAAACGCTGCGCCCTTTCAGGTAAGATTCGTTTACTTGTTCTCACCATGTACAACATCATCAAATTTCGAAATGGTTTTGTCCATGTTCAGCTTGAAAGATATATTGCCATAGTGATGAACATATTGGGGATTCTAAGGACGGGCACACACAAACGTTTTGCAGACAGGGGTTGGGGTGGGGTGGGGGTAACAGAATTGTGATTGTTGATGTCGACCTTGGTCATGTAACATGTGATATCATCACTATTTGAAAGTGCTTTATAATAAAATGGTTATATAATTTATAGTCTGAACCGTACAAAGGGTATTTTCTATTAATTAACTGGGTGTCTCTGTGAGACACCCGCTATCCCAGTAGTATCACAGCTGTAGACTTCAGAAATGGGCTTCAGATATCCCAGCAGGCACATCAACGTTGTTTCAACGTTGAGAATAGGTTGGTCCTTAACGCTGAGATTAGATTGAAAATAGGTTGTATATGAAAGTTTTTTAGACGTAGATATCCGACGTGGAATCAACGTTGAAGTTTGACCTATTATCAATGTTGAAAAAAGGTTGTATATGAAAGTTTTTTAGACATAGATATCCGACGAGGAATCAACGTTGAAGTTTGACATAATATTAACATTGAAAATGGGTTGTTCCGTGGTTGTATATGGGAGGTATTACGCTTTCCTGTAAATAGACTCGCACTTCATCTTTAAACTACACTTAAGTAGCACCAAACTCATGCATCCAGCTAAAATACCCATAAAACTACCTGCAATAAACCGTGTTCAAACATAATATTGCAGTAAAAATATTTAGCTGATAAAATACTTGGTTAAAATTCAACATTAAATATAAAGTTCATTTAAGTTTTATGTCAGTTGGACGTATAATTCCAGTAAGAAGAAAAGAGTATTCCAAATTAAGAAAAACTATTTACTGTTGTATTGTTATCTTGAAAAGGTGGAAATCCCGAGAAGACATTTTGTCTGAATTTCAGCTATTAGACAGACCCCTGAATAAACACAATGCAATTACTTTCACCATAGAAGGGATCCAAGATGACCAGGAACTATGCCTGAAGACAGCACATAAAACCAGTCACTTTAAATGAAATCTTTATGAACACACACGCACACAGAGAAACGTGGTTTAAAGCATAATGTAAAACATCACACATGACATAGTCTGTAGGTGATCTCTGTTGTGATAATAACACAATATCATCTGCATATAGCATTAAACTGACATATAGCTTCTCTTCTTTCTGCCACGCCCTGCCTGGCGGTCAGGTGGATACTTCAGAAACGTTCCTAACTCTTTCTTGAAATTTGCTTCGGATGCATTCCCATCTCATTCTCATGAGATAGGACACATTCTGAAATGTTATATTTAAATACATGAATAATTTATATGGAAGAAATATTGTCTTAAATGATTCAAATATGAGTTTAATCAATCACTTGAAAGGTTCATTTCACTGCTGTAACTTGGCATGTGAACATATGAACAGCATCAATACAAAATATGACGAAAGGTGTAAACAATTTATATTTTCAACTAAAGGAATGGTAGTTTTCTTAAACATGTTCAAAGAAAATCCTCAATTGCAAGTTGATTATTCAATTAGACTATGAATTAGGATGAATTAGACGATGCTTTACTGTCATATATTATTTGCTATGGTCATGATGAAAATGCTGCATTTGGTAATTAAATTACCAGAGATGATTGAATACAACCTTGTATTCTTAAAAGAAAACTTGCCGTTTTGCCCATCACCATTCATTCTTGACATCAAATTGTTTGACATTGTCCTGCAAAACAATGGAAGATTGTTGTTATTCCGTCAGATTTAGTTTTCTTAAGAGATTCTCGGAAACGATTATTTCAAATTAAATAGGAGTTGTACTGACGTAGCAATTTTGCTAACAGGAGTCATAAATTGTAACAAAAGCCATTTTACATTAAATGATAAGAAAACAAAATGGGTGGTGGTTCACAGGTCAAAGAACAAGTCTATTGTGGGAGGTCTTCCAACACCATTTATTCCCAAACACAAGGAAGTATGGATCATGGAGTTCTAAACACAATAATGAGCTCTCATAAGTATACAGTATATTCCCTATTATCTACTCTGTCTCTCTTTGTCATTTGTACACTCATTAAACTCAGATAAATAACTTCTTCATAATTCAGAAATGTTTACACATAATCTCTTATAGGAACGCTTAGAAAATCTCTCATATAATGAATTATGTGTGCCAATAATATCTGCGACGTCAATACTATGCTTCTCTGAATCATGAACAATAAAATAATGAGATTAAACTCTTCACTGCCAGAAATAATCTATCATACCCTGAATAATAAGACACTGAATAACATCTCTTACAACTCCAATCTACACTCAAAAAGACTTAAATGTACTCGTAAACAAACAACGCTGGCACACGCAAATTCTTGGAAACAGTGTATCTCTGACTCTCAATTCCAAGAAATGGAAGTCCTACTCTATTTGATCAAAGGGGTGACAGGTGGCCAAAACATATTGAAATGTAGGTCATACACTGAAAATAACTCTGATTTAAAACACTACAAATATACACCTTCTCTCTAATATACTCGATAGATGATCTTGACAAGGGAACATGTAAATACAATGCGGAAATCTAACAATACCTGTACTCTAAATAATGGACTCTTCCAAATCTCAGTATGTTTCACTGCACACACATTTAAATGCAAAATAATGAAAAACCTACGCTTTGACAATAATAAAGAAACATCATATTCAAATTCTACAGCTGACCAAATACCCGAGGAGTGTGTCTCCCAGCAATAAACATCTATATATCTCTATAAATTTATGACTTCTGTCCTATCGCGTGCTATCTCGCATCCAGCTCTTTACGGCGAAAAACAATATGGCACCAAGCAAGGGAGTGCTCATTAAACTAACATCTCCGGGAGAAATCATTGTTAAATTATTCTCTTACATGATCAACCTTAGTGGTGGATATACTGGAAACAAGTGAAATGTTAAAAACTTGTTACCTTAGCATTGCTCCTTTTATGTGATCCACAAAATTGCTGCCACCCAGTCTTCGAAGATGAGATTTCTGCAAATTCCATTAAAATTATATCTTATTTCATAATTAAATGTTCCTTACTAAATTACTTCTTTTGTATGTAACATTTTAACCTTTAAGAGACATGAATCATCACATCCCTTCCAAACAAGTGTAAGAATGAAAGTCTGTGGGTGCAGTTTTGTTAATTGTCCCATCAAAGAATCATTAGTGAAGTTACACATTTTGTACATGAATAAAAGTTCAAATAAATTATATGCAATTTCATCCTTAACAAAGACTTGCACAAGACTTTTTGATGTGAATTTTCGTTGCATGATCTGAGAAAGATTTCCTTTCGCCATTCTCCACCCCTACCCCCCTCCCCCCAAATAATATGCATATGTTGACAAGGTTCAGAGCGTGCTCAATGCAAAATTTACTGATAGACCTATTCAAACGAACAAATGTTCATAATAATGTGATGCAATATAAAATTTTGATAATTTCTATTCGATTTTGTATAGCTGCCTTTAGGGACCGTTCATAATGTATGGCTTGGGGTGATGATGATTTCTATGGAGAAGCATGAACAATGTGAATTACACTTCGTAAAGTATATGTACGAAATAAGTGACGCCCCACCACCTGCTGTCATGTATGTACAATATCTATATCCTCTCCCTTCCCATAATTTCTAAGCATCATATTAAACATAGTGCGTGTGTACAAAAATGCTGACCCCTTAGCTCCCCTGAACAAAATGGGTGAACACCCCCACCCCCACCCACACACACACCCTACAATCATCGCCCCCACTCGCAGCCATACAATCATCGCCTCCAACACTCGCTTGCTTTCTTTACCATATAATTATGAATGGTCTCTTCATATTGATCAGGTTCGGTCCCAGCGCAACTTCGGCTGCGTTTAACAGTACTTCAGCCAGTGTATTGTATCAGTCGGAATTTTACAATGAATTAATTAATTAATTAAGAGCAAGAATTTTATGTGAATGAATGAAAGAAATTAAGAAAAAGAACAAAAGAAAAAGAACATATGTAAATGAATGAAAGAATAAATGATATACCACGGCCATCCCTCCCCAAACATGTTAAAGAACGCAAAACTATCGGTAGGACACATATGTTAACATCAGCTGTCCTTTTTCATAAAAAAATACTTTGAGACATTTTTTTACATTAGTAACTAATTCAGATATCTTTTTGCATGTGTGGAATGACATGGGCATTGACAGAATGTTAACTGACACTGTCACAGATCCCTCAAGAACAGAAAGTTTAGAACTATCACAAAGTGTTGTAAACACCTTTCCAGTTTTGTCAAATACTAAGATCAACAAGAAAGAAAGAAGTTTTAGAACTATAACACTCAAGCATCACAAGCACCAATGGCGATATGTCATATTTTTCACACACCTCAAATACACACTAACAAAAACAAACAAAATTAAAACTATCACTATTACTTGCAAACACCTTTTACCTGATGGTATATTCCCCTCATAAAAATTGAAGGTGTATGTGAAAGATGTTTTTGAACACTAACTAGAAACACTCAAACAACGCCCTGTAGTGTTTCAATGGCAGATCGGCGATATGTCATATTTTTCACACACCTCAAATACACACTAACAAATTTTTTTAAATGATAAAACTATCACTATTACTTGCAAACACCTTTCACCTGATAGTATATCCCCTCATAAAAATTGAAGGTGTATGTGAAAGATGTTTTTGAACACTAACTAGAAACACTCAAACAACGCCCTGTAGTATTTCAATGGCAGATCGGCGATGTCATATTTTTCACACACCTCAAATACACCCTAACAAAAAAAATTTAGCTATAAAACTATCACTATTACTTGCAAACACCTTTCAACTAAAGGTATATTTCTCTTCTAAAAATTAAACGAATAAATGAAAGAAGTTTTTAGCGATATAATTTAGTCTTTCTTCGTTGTGTACTGAGAATTGAAGCCAGTGAGCTACAACATGCCCACTTGAAACTTTACTACAAAGCTACTGTACTTATACTGACACTAATAACAATTATTTGACTTAAACTGAAGTGACAGAATAGGTAACTTATCTTCTACATGTAGGTTTTCAGTTGTCACAACACTCAGCGTATGTAATCAGCTGTTGAAAATAAACCGGGCTCAATCTTAAAAACTACGCTGCTGCCATATTGGCTACACTGGTCACGTGACGAGCCGAGGCATAGCTTAGGAGCTTTCCGAGGAGTGACCACTCCCCCTTATAGAGTCTCCCTGTATTGATGTACTTCATTGATTTTTTGAAAATGTATATTTGCAAAATTCGAATCAGGTGATGGGTACGAAAGGAAATCTTATTCGATTGTATAATAAAATGCCAAATATATGCATGCAAATATATTGAAAAATAACAAAACAAGTTCATGGAAAACACGGGCTTCCACTAAATTTTGAGAAACATGTACGTGACATACCGGTAACCTTGTGAGATAAAACATGAGCCCTAATTCGGAGTTTCTTGCTACATTGACCTGCTAGATTTAAACAACATTCCTACGTTTTCATTATACATGAAGGACATACTTACCAAATAAACACCAGCATGCCGTGAAGATGTTGAAAATAGAACGATATTGCGTTGAACTTCGCCAAAGTAAACTGACAACGATCAGCTGATTTGCGCGCGCGATAATTGTGCGCATGTCCGGATATGGCCAAACGAGGCGATCGGAAGGTCAACATCTGGCATGTGTTTGAATGCAAATTGTCTGGAATTATACAGTTTTGACAGTTTTGTGGGGAAATATCAAATGTAATGCAATTCGGATAACTGATGACTTTATACCTAAAATCATTGATGTTTTCATTTTCATTTGCGATTTACGTAATATTTCCGTCCGTTGATCGATGCACAAGCAAACAATATATAAGATTATATGTGTCACTAGCTCGATCTTGATCTTTTATGAAATTAATGTTCCGAAATGATAGTTGCTAAGTTGGATACCTATTACCAATAGGAATTATGTATCAAATTTGCCAAGGAAACAGTTAGTTGACATTTTGTTGGTTCCTTACGTTGAAACAACGAAATCTCGACTAACTTTCTTTGGTCGCATGGTAAACGTTGAATCAACGTTTATGAAAGGTTGATCAACCAAACAACCAAAATTCAACGTTGATTGAACGTTGACTCAACGTTGTGTGCCCGCTGGGATTGTACCCACCAACCAACTATGACATCTAATGACAGCGATGTTTGGTTGTTACAGGCTGTTACAGACGGGGGTGATTTTAGTTTCTTCTCCAAAGTTCACCACATTACGAGGCAGCTGGGTGGAAGACAAAAATTACCTCACTGTGTCTCAGTGGGAGACTATGGATCTTTACTTCGAGTACAGAAACAAAAGAAAAACGGGTAACTATGTTTGTGATTAACCTTCAGGGCTCGGAGAACTGAATTGGTGAAAGGTTGTCCAAGTATATCTTGAACCTGACATTTATTGCCCCCTTTAGCTTGGTAACTACTGCAGTTTTGTTTAATAAAAGATATGAAATCACAATCTATATTGGTAATTTCATTATACCGATCAGGTAAGGATATCAGGAAACGCCAAGGCAATCAAAATGTAGTAAAACAATACCATCGTAGGAAACCAGTTGCCTTTAACAATCCTTGGACTTATTCATTTCACTGGAGAAGTATTTTGTTATTTAAAGTCTATGGCGACAACTTGTAAATAATCGAGTCTGGACCATACAATCCAGTGATCAACATCCTGTGCATCGATCTACGCAGTTTTGATACGATGACATGTGTCAACCAAGTCAGTGACCCTGACCACCTGATCCCGTTATTCTCCTCTTACGACAAGCATGGTCTCACCGAAGAAGTAATAACTGAGGACTAGACGTACAATGTTACGATTCTGGGTTCTAGGAGGGTCAGTAAAGGGTTGTTGTCAATAGTGCCCTTGATCATACGATGTGTCTACTCTCACGTTAAAACATTGCATTTCTTCCACAGCTCCCTATAAAGAGTCCTATGATTTGCTCAGGGAAATAGCTGACGTACGACCAGCTGTTATTTTCCAATCGGAGGATTTGTCTCTCTTTCAAATGACATCAATACAAACGACTGAGAGATCTGACAGCCCCGCCGTTGAATTCCAGTCACAGAATACTCAAGCTCAAGCTAAAAGCAATGCTTCAGGGGATGTGAGCAAGGCTTCAGAAGCTGTGGCTTCAGGAGAACGACAGGCAGAGTCTACAAGATCTGAGAGCCCAGCGGTCGAGGTGCAATCGGAGGATATCGATAATGCTGAAACCCAAACCCAATGCGAGGCTTTACGTAATGGGTATGAGGCTGACGGGGAAGATCAGGAAGAAACTGTGGACATAAAAACCCCAATAGCTGACTTACAGTAAAATCTTTAAAGTGTTCCAAACATTTTAATGTGCAGTTACATACGACATTTGTGGGAAGGGTCATGAAGTCCTCATGTGTTACCAGAGGTGAATATGTTGCTGAACCTGATGTTCCGTGAGGACTGAGGCATCCAATGCATGTATAGTAATGGTCGATTGATTAGTCGTTCATCCTGTTGAGCAGAAAGCTCTTGTGAGATCCAGGAACTAGAGGCTGGTTTCTGACATGATGTAAAATATGTGTCTAAGGAGTGAGTGTGTGACACTGCAACCAGTGTGCTACTTTAAATAATGGGGCTGTTACCTGTAAGTCACGTGACTCTCACCTGTAATTAGTCTGACTGTGACCCCCCCTGTAATTAGCGTGACTTACCTGTAAATAATGACTGTCACCTGTAATTAGTCTGACTGTGACCCCTGTAATTAGCGTGACTGTTACCTGTAAATCATGTGACACTCACCTGTAATTAGTCTGACTGTGACCCCTGTAATTAGCGTGACTGTTACCTAAAATAATGTGACTGTCACCTGTAATTAGTCTGACTGTGATCCCTGTAATTAGCGTGACTGTTACCTGTAAATAATGTGACTGTCATCTGTAATTAGAGTGACTGTGACCCCTACAATTAGCTTGACTGTAAATAATGAGACTGTCACCCGTTATTTGTCTGACCGTGACCCCTATTATTAGTGTGACTGTGACCAATTATTAGCGTCACTGTTACCTGTAAATAATGTGACAGTTACCTGTAATTTCTGTAACTCTAATACATGTGCCTGTGACGTGTAATTCGTGTGACTGTGATCATAGATTTGACTGCCAGTGTGCGAAATAGTTTCCAAATCGTGCTTACCAGTCGGGCTAGCTATGCCTGAAGGTTACTATCCCACGAAATATTTCACTAGTCCAAAATTTGAATGTAGAAACTAAGCAAAAGATTCAAAAAGTCAAAATACCATCATGTATCAGGCCATAATATTGCATGACTTAAAAGTGTATTATAACAACAAGTCGGAGAGAGTGATATTTACTAAATGACCCCATGAAAATTCACTATCCATTCGGCCGGTGACAGTGAAGATTTGCTGGCCCGACTGGATTTTTACTACCCACAGGCTAGCGGTCCAGTGGCTATTTCACACACTGATTATTGAGCATATCAGTGATTGAATTATCATATAACATGTAGCAACATGACCTAACAAACATCTATTATGTATTAGGAATATGGGTCAAGTGGCTCCAAATACTAATAAACTTGTCACTTGTCACATTATTTCAGAAACGAATACATCTAACTGTGTTAATTGATTCCGGATTTTATGTATCTTTTAAATATGACTGATGATCTATGATACAGAAATTCATTGATCATCCTCTGATTATCCCTCTTCGTAATAAAACTATACAGACCCACAAACCTTCTCATTGATGGATGCTATGGCACATATTAGGGAAAATCCCGATCTCTAAAGGAACCTCAATGCGATTGGTCTAGGAACCTCAATGTGACTGGTCAAAGTAGCCTAGTTAAACAACCATGGAATGAATGAATGAATGAATGAATGAATGAATGACGCAAAATGCAACGTGACCTTCAAATATGGTATGTGAAGACATTGTACACTATCTGGAAAGTAACTGCAGCGACACAACACAGAATGTTTATGGAATCAAGATCATTGATTCCATTGAAGAAAAAGAGTGGTAAATTCACCAAAAATGGACATACCAAAAGGTATTCACATTTTGATGAAAAAATGTCTTCATCTTGTAAAATCTGTAATGTTTTGTGGAACAACAGAACTTCTTGAAATGGAATCAACAGAAATTAACATTTGAAACAATAACTGGGTCATCGTTGGTGCGTGTATCTGCCATGACCCAGAAGCACCTCCTGACAGCGTCTCCTCATCGCCAGCATGAGCTTACGAAAAAAGACCGGGACAGATTGTTCCATGTGTCTAGCACGGCCTGCCTGAGTTCTCGAATATTGGCCACGGGCTGGTTCCTGGCGGAAATACGCCTGCCAATCGTGCACCACACGTGTTCGATCGAATTAAGATGTGGACTTACACCTGGCCAGTGGAAGGATTCAATGTTATGCTGCCCCTTAAGGTCGGTAATGATCCAAGCGTGCATTGTCGTCCTGGTAGATGTAAGCAACATGAGGATTGACATGCAGACAAGGAATCAGAGTGTTCTCGATGATGTCACGGCCATACTTCTCTGCATTCAGCGTTGACCAGCTCCAGTAACAATTCGCTCCCGTCGTCTGATGCCACCATTGATGGAATTGATTTGAAAACCAAAATGGTTCCTGATGTGCCATTGGTAGCAGCCGTCTATCATCCATCAAATCGGTCTTCTTGAGTCGACCTCGACCAACGGCAACCTTGACTTCACCTGTCCTGTGGTGTTTTTTTCAGCAACTTGCTGATGACGCTATAACGGACGTTTACGCGTCTTGCAATCTGTCGCAAGGACATGCCACCTTCTCTCATGCCTACAGTTTGACATTTTGTGGCCACAGATAACTGGTTGTGAGCCATATTACTGAATCATCAACTCACACAGTACTATTCTGGAAACAAAATATTGTGTACATGCATGCATTTCACCTTCATGCACGAGCAAAACATGTAATGCACGTGCATATTGTTTTCTGAAACTGTTATTCATTCAATGTATTCATTTGAATGGTTTCATTTACATCATGTTCAATTAAGTGTTGCCTCAAATTTTACCATCAGTATATTTATTTCCTCCAGATTTCAATCCGAAGATCATATACATATATGCATCAAATATTCACAACAACATATCCACAAGGCGGATAACCGGTATTTCACCTCCAGAAAAGAGAGACAGCATTTCATCTTCTGGCAGTAATTCTATTTGTACCGACACATTGACATGAAAAAGATCTAAAAGTATATTGTGGATAAACATACAACAAACACTATAGTCTATGTACACCAAAGGTACAGTGGCATAGGCGGTATCTGGACATATCCTGTATCACACAGACTTGAGTAGCCCATCGTACAGTGGCATCGGCGGTATCTGGACATATCCTGTATCACACAGACTTGAGTAGCCCATCGTACAGTGGCATCGGCGGTATCTGGACATATCCTGTATCACACAGACTTGAGTAGTCCATCGTACAGTGGCATCGGCGGTATCTGGACATATCCTGTATCACACAGACTTGAGTAGCCCATGGTACAGTGGCATAGACGGTATCTGGACATATCCTGTATCACACAGACTTGAGTAGCCCATGGTACAGTGGCATAGGCGGTATCTGGACATATCCTGTATCACACAGACTTGAGTAGCCCATGGTACAGTGGCATAGACGGTATCTGGACATATCCTGTATCACACAGACTTGAGTAGCCCATGGTACAGTGGCATAGGCGGTATCTGGACATATCCTGTATCACACAGACTTGAGTAGCCCATGGTACAGTGGCATAGGCGGTATCTGGACATATCCTGTATCACACAGACTTGAGTAGCCCATCGTACAAGTTCAGTTTCATTAACACAGTTAATAACTATTGTACGCCAGGAGGGTTTACATGGAAACTTCCCAATTTCAAGATAGTCACTCACATATTTAAAAACATTTTATTTTAGGATAGTTTGTAGAAGCGTGTCACATATACTATGTGACGCTGTTGTTCTCTTTTGAAATGTGGCTAACTGGGCACAGAGTAAATCCTGAAAGGATGAGTTGCATTGGTTGTTGCATAGTTTGCCAAGAAAAAATAGCCTACATTTGTCTATGTATCCATCCATTCTCCACATACCAAGGTTTCCTGGCACCGAGGCAGATGAAAAACATTTGCCAAAGCCCTGAATACATCTGGCAAAGTATCCTTGTGTGCTTTAGACCAATTCATAGTGTTTACCATGCAGAATAGGTCAAAGTTCACACCCATAGAAGCTTGTGGGGAGTATCATCCTCCTCCATATTTTTACACAGGTAGGATGGGGATCTTTATTTTTTAAGCCGAGATTATTTAGGGAGTTTGCATTTTCTATCGTGCTTTTTGACAATATGCGTACTGTCTAGACTTGGAGGATAAATCAGAGGAAAGCATGATACCTTCATATTTGACACTTTCACTTATTGCAATATCTGTTTCGCCAAATGTGAAAGAATAATCACCTTGGCCTTTCATCACGGGTTACGTCAAGAAAATCAATTATGACCAGCTGAGAAGGTAATGTCCATGAGATTTGGCGCCTTCTCCTGTTGGGCTCTGTGGGATTGTGTGCAAACTGTGTGCCCTCCCTGTCAAGATGTTCTTCGAGCATTAAAGCATTAAAGCACCAGTTCGTGGTGACTCGTGTGTGAAGATTTCTGAAGATGTGTTTCACATGCTTGTCTGCCCAATAAGGTGTCTTCAGGATAAAGTGAACGATAAGATGTTACACTTATTTTCACGTGTTACACATGAACTGACGAAAGGCAAACCGAACAACCATTGCTTCATTGTAACCGAGGGTTCGTGACTTCGTAGATTCTGTTTATTATCCCCTGTGACGAAATGGGAGGGGATATAAGTTTGAGCTCAGTCCGTCCGTCCGTACGAGATGATGGGGACAAATTTTCTCAAAAACCGCTGATATGACGACGTGCATGCGTGTGTATGTGTATGTGCAGCTGCTTGTACTAGCCCAGACTGATGCTGGTTTTATAGTGCTAGCCCACTGAGATAGCCCACTGAGATACCATGCCGCAGTGAAGCATGAATACCCCACTCAGACACATTATACTGACTCCGAGCCGACCAGTCCTTGATGTACCCATTAATGCCGAGCGCCAGGCAGGGACCAACAAGTACCATATTTTAACGTCTTTTGGTATGACGCGCCTGTGTCTTGAACGGGCGAGGAGGGTACACATGATGTTGAATCACCGAGTGCTTCATGTCTGTCATTTTTATTTGGGGGGTTGGTCTACACAACTGATGTTTGCTAGTGCTGTTTTAACTTTTTGTCTGTATGTCACGATATTACACGTTTTTCAACACATCTAACATTGTGATGACACTCTTAACTCTACAGAGAGAGAGAGAGAGAGAGGAGTGAGAGAGAGAGGACAGAGAGAGAGAGAGAGAGAGGAGAGAGGGTGAGAGAGAGAGAGAGAGAGAGAGAGAAAGAGAGACACCGAGAGAGGCTGAGAGATAGACAGAGAGAGAGAGACAGAGAGAGATAGGAGCATGAGAGAGAGACACACACACAGAGAGAGAGAGAGAGAGAGAGAGAGAGAGAGAGAGAGAGAGAGAGAGAGAGAGATGAGAGAGAGAGGAGAGAGAGAGACAGAGAGAGAGAGAGATAGAGAGAAAGAGAGAGAGAGAGAGAGAGAGAGAGAGAGAGAGAGAGAGAGAGAGAGAGAGAGAGAGAGAGAGAGAGAGAGAGAGAGAGAGAGAGAGAGAGAGAGAGAGAGAGAGAGAGAGAGAGAGAGAGAGAGAGAGAGAGAGAGAGAGAAAAGTCTGAAGATCCTTGGTACAGATATAATTTCTTCAATTCTAACCGGTTTCACACTGTCAATATGATCATCATGAGAATAACGTTCCTATACCTTGTGTCATATATATATATATCATTTGACCCTTTATTAATGACGCCTAGTATATCAACTTGCAAATTCTTAGGCAAAAGTTCTTTATAGGTCGTACATTACAACAAAAAGTGAAAAATCAATATTTTACGAAATATATAATGCAGATTGGAAAACAGATACCCGTCTGGCTCAAGACGATTCTTATATTCTGCACATAACTTATAGCATGAACTGTTTTCAAGAGTACATGTAGATGTCCAAGTTTCGTAAAACATGTTGATCTAGTGTTCTTTAAAAATGTGAATAAAAGCGCACAGGTCACCGACGGCAAGACAAATCCAAAACAGTGTGAGCAAAGTATATGACGGTAATGCAACATATTATATGCCTTTCTCCGAATTTAGTCATCGTGCATTGTTAACTTAAAGCCGAAATTTCATCCTTCGAACGTAGGAATTAATATAAACTGGAAATGGTCCATATTCTCCATATACTATTGCATTTGGTGTTTGCAGACCGACATTTAAGAATTATTTACATGCCTGTAAGCGAGTTTTTTCAATGCATTCGTATTTTTTAATCCCCCAAACTTGTGACCCGTAAAGATATATTGGCTGGATTTGCGTGTCAAATATTTTAAAAAATACTGCCATAGGTATTGGTTCTAATTTCCTTTCGTTTATAGCTAATTCCACTAAAGCCTTATTGCTACGACTTTAAAGTTCAAAGGTCACTTGTCTAAGATAAAATTACAAGTGAACACAAAACCTAGATATTTGTAACTGTTTACCGTTTTAATTTTACTCCCAAACAACCAGTTTTCCTTAACAGCTAATTTCCTACCTCTCCAAAAAACTGGAACTTTAGATTTATCTAAATTTACAGTTAATCCCCACTTATCTGCATGCGATTCTCAAGTGTCTAACTACACTGAAGACCACACAAGATTTACATTATCCGAAAAAAACATTATTAGAATTCCAAGTACATCTTGAAACAATTGCATTCTATGTTTACCATAATTTGTGATTACTACTAAAAGTTCATATATAAATAATCCGTTAAGATCCGGGTTAGGATTTGTGTGCAGCAACCTCTGCTTGTCGTAAGAGGCGACTAACGGGATCTGGTGACACATGTCACCGCATCCAAATTGTGTACATCGATGCACATGATGTTGATCACTGGATTATCTGGTCCACGCTCGATTGTTTACAGGTCATCATGGTCTAGCGTCAATATTGGTGAGTGCGGCTTTAAACAACCAAACCAAACAAAAAAGAATTTATAAATATTGAGAATAACATTGGACTCAACATACATCCCTGTCGTAAACCAAATGGACGAATAGCTAAAACATTTCGTTTGGGGGACAGCCTGTTGCCTAACATGTTCTGTAACATGTATCAATAACAAGTAAGCTAATGGATGTTTATATTTTTATTTCAAACTGGAATAATCACAGGGTGATCAATGGATTTCTTTATCATCGATCATCGATCTTATGAAACATACTACATATGTGTAAACCATAAGAAAGGCTTTGAGATGTGGTTCTGAAATCATTAGTAAGTCGGTTGCTGAATTTTGCATGATAATAATTGGTATTATCGGTTCCCAATTGCGCAGATCGATGCTCATGCTGTTGATCACTGGATTATCTGGTCCTGACTCGATTATTTACAGACCGCCGCCATATAGCTGGAATGTTGCTGAGTGAGGCGTAAAACTAAACTCACTCACTTCATTTGGCAGTAAGTTTAACCTCTGATTAGAGACATTTAAATCTATGATCACAGTCACACACATTACAAATCACAGGCAGTTGTATTACAGTCACACAAAATAAAGGTAACAGTCACGCTATTTACAGGTATCAACGTTATTACATTTTGCGTGAAAAGCATTGATAAACTCACAATTGTATCTACCTCCTATGGTAGTAAGATTAGCCAATGATAACAGTCACAATAGTCTTTGATAACATAATACTTTAAGTCACATTAACCTATGATCACTCAGCTACGATCACGTCACAGGCAATTGTATTATAGCTCATAGTAACACAAAGTACAGGAAACAGTCACGCTTTTTACAGGTCACGGATTTAAAGGTAGCAGTTGCGTTGTTTACAGGACACAGTCACGCTAATCACTAGTCTGGGGAACACTAATTACAGGTGTCACAGTCACACTAATTGCAGATCACAGCCGCATGATTCACAGGTAACAGCAATGCTTTTTACAGGTAACTGTCACGTTTATTAATTTCACAGGCGCACTAATTACAGGTTGGAAGCACACTGATTATCGGCCGTAGTAACACAAAATAACACTAACTAGACATACTGTTTATCATGCCAGAAACAGGGTGTGACAGTGAAACAAACTGCAGGTCACAGTCACATTAATTACAAGTCACATGATTTAAAGGTAACCGTCACGCTATTTACAGGTAGCACAGAAATAAATGTCACAGGCACTTTAATGACAAGCACACTGGTGGCAGTAATATACTAGGCATACAAAAATTTAAAATCTAAATTTATCAAACCTGTGTAGACACATAAGGATTTAAACTCAGAGATTAGTGACATGTATCCAACATGCATGCACGTGCCACGTCCCGTGACGTCAGTGGGTTCGTCCTTGAGACGTGCAATACGTTGTTGCACGTGCATTCCGGGAAAGAGAAACAGAGCAAATGAATGGCACACAATACTGTCACTTTTGAAAGCTCAACCCCTGCCCTTGCGATCGTTCAAAAAATTAAACGGCTATTGAAACGCATAGCATGCCAAGGCTCACGTCTGCACAACGTCATGAGGCCATTGGGATGGTCCGTGGGGGAATGTCTCAACGACAAGTGGCTGCACATTTCGACTGCCACCGGAACACCATTTCTGCACTGGTGAGACGCTACCACAACACAAATGACGTCATCGATCGGCCACGTTCTGGACGTCCAAGTGTAACAACGCCAAGACAGGACAGATGGATAAGGGTGACCCATCTTCGCCACAGGTTTCAGACTGCAGTGATGACTGCCCGAACCATCCCAGGACTTCGCAGTATCCACCCTAACACAGTTCGACAATGTTTACGTCATCACGGGATCAGACCACGACGTCCCGCCAAACGGCCTATCCTGAAACAACGTCATCGACAAGCTCGCCGAATGTGGTGCCGAAAACATGTCCGCAGACCCTTGTTTTGGTGGAGAAATGTTGTTTTTACAGATGAGTCCAGGTTGAACATTTCCCATAGTGATGGACGTCAACGTGCCCATAGACGCTCGGTAGAACGTTATGCACAGGCCTGTGTCTTGAAGAGGAATCGGTTTGGTGGTGGTTCCGTGATGATTTGGGGTTGAATAACAGCACGCCAAAGAACTCCGTTGGTGATTGTTCAGGGCAACTTAACTGGTGTTGGCTACAGGGATCAGATTCTTCGACCTGTGGCAATTCCTTTTCTGCAACGTCATGGCCCTGGGTTAACATTCCAACAGGACAATGCCCACCCTCATACGGCAAGTGTTGCTATGGATTTCTTGCAACACCACAAAGTTGACTTACTGCCTTGGCCTGCAAATTCACCGGATCTCTCCCCGATAGCGCATGTTGGGACAAGATGGATCGACGTCTACGCCGTCTTCCTCATCCGCCAGATAACGTCCTTGACCTTGCAACAGAACTTGAGAGAATCTGGCGTGACATCCCACAAGCCTTCCTTGCACGTTTGATAGGCTCTATGCGTCGTCGATGCACTGCTATTCTCAATGCCGATGGTGGACATACCCGTTATTGAGCTTGTGACATGGTCGTTTGACCCCTGTCCCGCTTGTGGACTCGTGACGTCATTGTGATTGACTTTTCAATTGCAATTCTCCCGACTTGTTATGGTCTCATGATCCCTCCATTAAAGTTTATATGTACCTTTGACATTGTTATCGCACTTATCAACTCGGATAATATTTTGACAATGCACAGTTTCTTTATGTGGCTAGTGTACATACCAACACTCCTTGTACATCATATCGGAAACCAGTCTCCAGTTCCTGGATCTACTACTATCCTTCCATCTGTACAGAATGGGTATAACCAAGTGATTTCCAGTCAACAGGATGAACGAATAATCAAGCGACCATTACTATACATGTGTTGGAACGGGTCAATAAGCCCCAGCCTTCCCTGGACATCAGATTCAACAAACGAATTCGCCTGTAGCAACACACGAGGTGAGGTGAGGTGAGGTGAGGTGAGGTGAGGTGAGGTGAGGTGAAATTGGGTTTAACGTCGTGCTTGAGAATATTTCGTTCATATGACGAAGTGCATGCGTGTGTATGTGTATGTACGGCTGCTTGTACTAGCCCAGACTTAAGCTGGTTTTATAGTGCTAGCCCACTGAGATACCATGCTTCAGTGAAGCATGAATACGCCAGTCAGACACATTATAGTGACTCCGAGCCGACCAGTCCTTGTTAAACCCATAAATGCTGAGCGCCAGGCAAGGACCAACAAGTATCATATTTTAACGTCTTTTGGTATGACGCGGTCGGGGATCGAACCCGCGACCTTCCGCTCTCCGGGCGGACGCTCTAACCACTACACCATGGAGGCAGCCCAACACTCGAGGACTCCATGACCCTTCCAACAAATGTCACTTGCAATTGCCCTTTAACATAATTTGAACGCTTTTACGCCCTGCGGCAAATCCTCAACTACATTACTGTAAGTCTACTATTGGGGATTTCATGTCAACAGTTTCTTCCTGATTTCCCCCTTCAGCCTCATCCCCATCACCTGAAGCCTCGCATTGGGTTTGGGTTTCAGCATTATCGATATCCTCTGACTGCACCTCGACCGCTGGGCTATCAGATCTTGTAGACACTGCCTGTCGTTCTCCTGAAGCCTCGTTTACATCCCCTGAAGCCTCGTTCACATCCCCTGTCGCCTCGTTCACATCCCCAGAAGCCTCGTTCACATCCCCTGAAGCCTCGTTCACATCCCCTGAAGCCTCGCATTGGGTTTGGGTTTCAGCATTATCGATATCCTCTGACTGCACCTCGACCGCTGGACTCTCAGATCTTGTAGACACTGCCTGTCGTTCCCCTGAAGCCTCGTTTACATCCCCTGAAGCCTCGTTCACATCCCCTGTCGCCTCGTTCACATCCCCAGAAGCCTCGTTCACACCCCCTGAAGCCTCGTTCACATCACCTGAAGCCTCGCATTGGGTTTGGGTTTCAGCATTATCGATATCCTCTGACTGCACCTCGACCGCTGGGCTCTCAGATCTTGTAGACTCTGCCTGTCGTGCTCCTGAAGCCACAGCCCCTGAAGCATTGCTTTTAGCTTGAGCTTGAGTATTCTGTGACTGGAATTCAACGGTTGGGCTGTCAGATCTCTCAGTCGTTGGTATGGATGACATTTGAAAGAGAGACAAATCCTCAGATTGGAAAATAACTGCTGGCGGTATGACCAGTACTTCCCCGAGCAAATCAAAGCATTCTTTGAAGGGACCTGAGGACGAAATGCAATGTTTTAACGTGAGAGTAGACATGTTTATGGTATGGTTTTGGATGCTATAATCAACTACAGGTTCTTGCCAGCAATACAACCCTTTTACAAACTTCTTCTTGAACCCTATGCCATAACATTGCACATCTAGTCCTCAATCATCACTTCTTTAGTGAGACCCGTGAAGATCCGGGTTAGAATTAGTCTTCAGCAACCCATGCCTGTCGTAAGTGACGACAAATTGCTGAGACGGAGTACTGAGACTCGCTGACTTGCGTGGTCAGGATGTTAATCACTAGATTGTCTGGTTGAGACTCCATTATACACAGACCGCCGCCATATAGCTGGAATGTTGATTTAGATTTTAGAGCGTTAGATAACAAAAAGAATTACTTCTTTATAGTGAGATGGATGGGTCCAAGGATTGTTCAGGACAAAAGGTATCCTACCATAATAATGCTTTGCAGCATTATGAGTAACTAGGCCTTCCCTGATAATCGGTAAATGAACGGTACATTTTATAAACGTTTCTAAAGAACGTTCCAGTTTCCAGACTAAGCAAGTGGGGCGATATATTTCAGGCTGAAATATCGTTGCTGCGATGACAACTTATCACCAAAATCTCAGAATCCTCAAGGCTGATCACAAACATATTTACCCGTTTTTCTTTTGCATCTGAACTCGAAGTAAAGATCCATTGTCTCCCACTGAGACACCGTGACGTGCCTTTTGTCTTCCAGCCAGCTGCCTCGTAATGTGGTGAACTTTGGAGAAGAAACCAGAAGCACCCCCGTCTGTAACAGCCTGTAACAACCAAAAATCGCTGTCATTAGATGTCATAGTTGTTTGGTGGGTACAATATCTGAAGCCCATTTCTGAAGTGTACAGCTGTGATATTACTGGGAAAACCCAGTGAATTAATAGAAAATACCCTTCGTACGGTTCAGACTATAAATTATATAACCATTTCATTATAAAGCACTTTCAAATAGTCTTCCAGCCAACTGCCTTGTAATGTGGTGAACTTTGGAGAAAAAACCAGAAGCACCCCAGTCTGTAACAGTCTTTAAAAACGAATCGATGTCATTGTATGGGTGCTGTAGGGTAGCCCGGTGGAATAAAGCGGTTCGTGACGCCGTAGGTACAATGTGTGAAACATTTCTGGCGTCTCCCTCCGTGATTTGGGGGATATTGCTGAGAGCGGCGTAAAAACCAATCTCACTCTTTGTGGCATCATTGTCAAATATTAAAGACAAACTAATTTCAGTAATTGTAAGAATTATCCATAGTATGATTCAGACTGTACCTAATACACTCTTCGAACAAAGAAACGCATGGGTGATTTTGAGAATATTTGACGTATGTAGCTGCGGCAAAAACAATACAAATATGCTATTACTTTCCAAAATTCAACTTTGTGTGAGTGTTAACAGCTTCAGTGCCAAAACGCGGCAATTTTTCTGTTTTCCCTTGTTTTACAGGCGTTTTAAGAATTATTCCCCAAAACGAAGAAAACATGCAAAGCAAAATGCCCGTGCAAGTAAGCGGAAAAGCATGCGATACCGATCACTATATAAATGCAAACGTTGTGTTTAATTTTGTCATTCGTTTTTGCATGGAAAAGAGGAAACCATCATGTCACGACTGATTGCCGCCAATCGAAACATCGCCATAGGCCACCTTAAAGATGGCGAGTAGCAGACTGCAGTTGCCCAACATTTCAATGTTCATTAGAGCCTTTTGGGATCGTTTAACTGCAGACCAATTCCTCGACTAGATCGCTCGAAAAGCGGCCGTCCAAGAGTTAAAACCCAAGCCCAGGACCGCTACATCCGGGTTGCTGACTTGCGTCATCGTCTTACCACAGACGTGGAGACTGCACAACGCATCCCTGGTCTGAGAAAGAATTCAGACCAAACTGTCAGGAATCGATTTCGTAAAGTGGGGATTCGACCAAGAAGGTCAATTGTCGCCCCTGTTTTGAGAGACTTCCGTCGGCACAAACTGCTTACGGTGGTACGGAACTGGAACCTTAGAACCTGGAGGCGAGCCTGGTTCAGTGATGAATCACGATTTCTTCTTCACCGTTTGAATGTTTTGCCCTTAATTGCATTCACCAGGTCTGTGGAGGCAGTGTCATGGTGTGGTTTGAGATACACAAAGATCTAATTTAGTGGTGGTTCAGGGGAATTTGACAGCAAACTGGTACATCAACGTAGTCCTTTTACGTCACATGATTCCGATTATGGATCGACAGAGGGAGTTGTTTCAGCATGAAAACGCTACTTCGAATACAACACGTCTCACGATCTGCTACCTTGCCAATTCTAACGTCAATGTCTTGCCATGGCCTTCCCGATCACCAGATCCAAACCCGATAGAACACCTATGAGATGAACTCGATCGATGTGTACGTCAACGTCAAAACACGCCCACAATTTGCCATCGCATTACAGGTAGATTTGGGAAGACTTCCGCTAGAGCGACTTATCCAGTCTGTGCCGAGACAGTGCCGAGCAGTAATTGCTGCCAATGGTGGTCATTAAAAGTACTGACTTTGACGCCATATTGTGGACGTTGTCTATAGACGTGTGAATTTTCATCCTTTTACCATTGAAATTACATTAAAAAATTGCTCTTAAACGCAATAAATTCTTCTAACATTGGCTTATACGTTTCTTTTCTTTTAAGAGTGTACAACCACGTGTTTATGAATCAAGTGTAAAATGTACAGGGGGTGATATGAAAAAATCTCAGTTCTCTGTCTTCAATGAAATAAAACATGCACCCCTCTTTCCACAAACTCTTTATTCGCGCTTGTCCTTCGCACTACAATACGTTCAGAACTGAAGCGTTATATCTTTCAGGCTGAATATGAAAAAACACTTAACATTTTGAAATATTTTCTTTTTGTACATGCGTGAAAACAAGTAACCCATGTGTTCAGCAGCCTTCGTTAAGGATGAAAAGACATTTCATTGCACTGTGTCATAGATGCAACGAAACTTACCTTAAACGACGTAGCGTCTTAGGATACAGTTTACCGTATTTGTTCAGTTTGGCTTTTTGCATTGGTAGCTTGTACCTTGAGGCCGTCAATGAAAATATACTGTTAGCTGCCAATAAAGAAGGTTTCAGATTATGGTACTGACATAGTTATCAAAAGTTATCAAAAGTGTGGTCAAGGGACTGGTCATTTATAATGGGTGGTTGGGTGGTGAGACGATGAGATTAAGGGAGTGGAGACTTGTGTCATGAAAATAAGGTAGGGTTGCCCACATGAAAAATAACTAACGTCACACTGTTCCGTTTTCTTGGCAAAATTCCATAACCCCCTGAGTCCACCCCCGATCGCTTAAGCCACGTGTTTGTCTGTCCAGATTCGGGTATTTTCAGGAAGGCGTGTGAATATTACCGATTAAAGTGTTAAATGTACACTCATTTCATTTTCAACTTAACGTATGCTTTTTGATCTGTGAACTATATATTGCAAAAATATACACCTTTTCTGTACTGTTCCTTCATTGTTGCAACAATGGCCTCGCAAGTTCCCAGCCATTTTGGATCAGCGACCCCTGTAGTCTTGTTGAACCAATCAGCTGCCACCTCCACAGAAGGGAACTTCAAAATGGCGACAGACGTTCGTGCTGGCCATTCGTTAGAATCGTGTAGAACCTATAATAATATCGGCCATCTATTAGGACATCCAGCATGCTAAACGAACATTTGATGTTTTCGGAAAATACTTTAGTTTGTTACTGACACATCCTCATATATATTTTGGGGTGTAGGCTTGTGGTTAAAGCGTTCGCTCGTCACGCCGAAGACTCGGGTACGATTGTCCACATGGGCAAATTGTGTGAAACCCATATTTGGTGTCCCCCGCCGTGATATTGCTGGAATATTGCTAAAAGCGCCGTCAAACCAAACACACCACCCACTCATAATAATTATATTTAATAAAACCTGAATGACATTAATAACTTTGTACAAATATTTTGTATTCATGTATTGGCATACTAACATCTAGAGCTTGAGTAAACTATTTTCTGGTTGGCTACCGTCGACATCATATCACTCATTTCATTGGTCGTTGTGACGTGAAATGTAATGAGATGTCCTGAGGGGATCTTTTTTGTTCAGCAGAAAGGAGCCCTAAAATCTGATTGCATTGGGATTGTCACATTATTTTAAACAAGGTAAAGCCAAGCTCACTCATTCATAGACGACTGCTTACACATGGATTCTGGATATACAATATCTATATTTTCTGTTCGATTTAATACTTTGTTACATTCCCACTGTACCCAAATCTAAATCCTGATCCTAACAACATTGTTGGAGCTGACCGATGGTTGTACATCAGATGATTTCAAGGGGGTAATTTCCATCCATGGATTACACAGTTTTTATCACCTGTGGCGCAAATGCAATGATTTCTCCCTCACACTCTGCCAGACTCTGGTGGTATCCCCCAATGGTGTCTCTGAACTCCTGAACACAGGTGTCTGGGAACCGAAGGAAAAGAACCCCATACGGCTTGTCTGCCATCTCTGGCTAGAAATGAAATACCGACAAATAAATAGCCATAAATATACAATTTTAGTCAATTTTAAAGATAATGACTATATATACTCAGTGGTTTCATGTCAACATACGCAAGTTCTTAAAAGGAGATTTTTGCTCAAGTCGTGACCGGTTGGAAAAGAACAAAGACCATAAACACTTTGGACCTTTTAGATCTGCAGCTGTTAGAGGTTATCTTTTCCCGAAACTTTGCCTACTTACTGTGATGGCAGTTTCTGTAGTAGCAGCTAAATTATCCACCAACAGAACATCTTCGTAGGATGGGGGCAGCTCCATTGCAGAAGTAGAAACTTGCAGTTTGGCTTGTGGCGGGACTTGTGGAGTGCCCTGGGGAGGGGCAGGACGTGGTCCTACAACAACAGTAGCAGCAGGGCTTGGTCTTGAAGCAACAGCTGCAGCAGGGCTTGGTCTTGAAGCAACAGCTGCAGCAGGGCTTGGTCTTGAAGCAACAGCTGCAGCAGGGCTTGGTCTTGAAGCAACAGCTGCAGCAGGGCGTGCCCCTCCAGCTCCACCAGCAGGGCTCGGGGAAGGGGGAAATGTGTAGTTCACAACGTTGGCACACATGGGGATGTAATTGAAATTCACAAAATTGCCGTATGATCTCCGGCAGACATGAAATCCCCGGTTGCATTTGGTGTAGGTTATGTCACTGGAGGCATCAATCCCTGAAAGGATCCACAATGAAGACCTACTAGATGGTACATGTTAATCAGTGTCAATGTCATTTTCGCTGAACATTTTAGATTCAACGTTTTGTGGTTGGATACACCGCATGGATACAAATTGTGAAGCCCATTTCCTTTGCCCCACTCACTCATACACGCTCAAACCAGAAGGTTTTCCGACATTAAAGGCACATATTTTCAACAATACTTTGGCCTGTGTTATATATAGTGGAGCACATGCCCTCACAATAGCTTCCTATTGATGCAATATAAGACATTATCTCTTACAACTTGCCTGAAATTGATAATTGAAACTTCGAGGCGAGCATCTTCTAAACAGAGAACACTTGCCATATATGGAATGTGAACGATTGCTCCATAATAATATAATATATTATATAGTGCATGCTCAAGGCGCTGGTATTTATTTCCCTCGATCATTGGATGTCAATCTCAACGGCACATTGTATTATCAATCTCAACTCCCTGGGGAGTATACAACTCTTGCAGCCACTAGGCACTAGTTATTGTGGTTTTCTCATCCTAACGAGGTACCCATTCACAGCTGGGTGGACTGGGACACATAGTCACAGTACTTTGTCCAAGTTCACTGCACGTTGCTGTACCAGCAACTAGGTGTTTGCACGTATTCATGTGGCCACCATCTGGTCATATACCAATGGATTCGTGGGTTCTTTTAAGTGCACAGGGTTGTGTACTGTACACTAGGGGTTGTGACAACACGGAAAGAGTCTGCACACAAAGTTGACTCAAAGGTTTTTTCACCCGGTCACAGGTGAGCTCGATCCCGACATCTCAACTTCGCTGGATCACTAGCCTGGCGCCTTAGCCAGCTCGCCCACCGCGCCCCCAACATGGAAATCTATCTCACGCGGTGTTGCACTAATTTCAATCACAGGTCGGTTGTAAGATATACTTAAAGTGCGCTCTAAGGGGCATAACTCTATGGGGCTCGCTTGAAATAATGTTCGGCAGTTGGTAGAGGGCGATTTAATGAAACGCTACATTAATTCATTCGAACATTTCATTTTAAAATTGTAGTCTAAATACGTAATTATTTTGGGAGTAAATTATATGGTAGCTTTCCCGACGGCTGATAGTTAGCATTACTGAGAGAAACGCATAATGTATTGTTAGAGAAGTGTGGTGTCATATAGTGCCTTTAACAGTTCAGTCGCAGTCGAAGAAACACCCGAGCTGACACGACTAGGAACAGGGATAAACCGGGACTGGCGACTTGGGACACTAGCCTAGCATTAGCCGCTTTTGCACGACACTTACAAGACATGGATCTAAAACTTTATGTCTTTGACGACTTGGGACACTAGCATTAGTCGCTATTGCACGACACTTACAAGACATGGATCTAAAACTTTATGTCTTTGACGACTTGGGACACTAGCATTAGTCGCTTTTGCATGACACTTACAAGACATGGATCTAAAACTTTATGACTTTGACGACTTGGGACACTAGCATTAGTCGCTATTGCACGACACTTACAAGACACGGATCTAAAACTTTGTGTCTTCTGACGACTTGGGACACTAGCCTAGCATTAGCTGCTATTGCACGACACTTACAAGACATGGATCTAAAACTTTATGTCTTTGACGATTTGGGACACTAGCATTAGTCGCTATTGCAAAACACTTAAAGACACGGGTCTAAAACTGTGTGTCTTCTGACGACTTGGGACACTAGCATTAGTCGCTATTGCACGACACTTACAAGACACGGATCTAAAACTGTGTGTCTTCTGACGACTTGGGACACTAGCATTAGTCGCTATTGCACGACACTTAAAGACACGGATCTAGAACTTTATGACTTTGACGACTTGGGACACTAGCATCAGTCGCTATTGCACGACACTTACAAGACACGGATCTAAAACTGTGTGTCTTCTGACGACTTGGGACACTAGCATTAGTCGCTTTTGCACGACACTTACAAGACATGGATCTAAAACTTTATGACTTTGACGACTTGGGACACTAGCATTAGTCGCTATAGCACGACACTTACAAGACACGGATCTAAAACTTTGTGTCTTCTGACGACTTGGGACACTAGCATTAGTCGCTATTGCAAAACACTTAAAGACATGGATCTAAAACTTTGTGTCTTCTGACGACTTGGGACACTAGCCTAGCATTAGCTGCTATTGCACGACACTTACAAGACATGGATCTAAAACTTTATGTCTTTGACGACTTGGGACACTAGCATTAGTCGCTATTGCAAAACACTTAAAGACACGGGTCTAAAACTGTGTGTCTTCTGACGACTTGGGACACTAGCATTAGTCGCTATTGCACGACACTTACAAGACACGGATCTAAAACTGTGTGTCTTCTGACGACTTGGGACACTAGCATTAGTCGCTATTGCACGACACTTAAAGACACGGATCTAGAACTTTATGACTTTGACGACTTGGGACACTAGCATCAGTCGCTATTGCACGACACTTACAAGACACGGATCTAAAACTGTGTGTCTTCTGACGACTTGGGACACTAACATTAGTCGCTATTGCAAAACACTTAAAGACATGGATCTAAAACTTTGTGTCTTCTGACGACTTGGGACACTAGCCAAGCATTAGCTGCTATTGCACGACACTTACAAGACATGGATCTAAAACTTAATGTCTTTGACGACTTGGGACACTAGCATTAGTCGCTATTGCACGACACTTAAAGACACGGGTCTAAAACTGTGTGTCTTCTGACGACTTGGGACACTAGCATTAGTCGCTATTGCACGACACTTACAAGACACGGATCTAAAACTGTGTGTCTTCTGACGACTTTGGACACTAGCATTAGTCGCTATTGCACGACACTTAAAGAGACGGATCTAGAACTTTATGACTTTGACGACTTGGGACACTAGCATCAGTCGCTATTGCACGACACTTACAAGACACGGATCTAAAACTGTGTGTCTTCTGACGACTTGGGACACTAGCATTAGTAGCTATTGCACGACACTTACAAGACACGGATCTAAAACTGTGTGTCTTCTGACGACTTGGGACACTAGCATTAGTCGCTATTGCACGACACTTAAAGACACGGATCTAGAACTTTATGACTTTGACGACTTGGGACACTAGCATTAGTCGCTATTGCACGACACTTAAAGACACGGATCTAGAACTTTATGTCTTTGACGACTTGGGACACTAGCATTAGTCGCTTTTGCATGACACTTACAAGACATGGATCTAAAACTTTATGTCTTTGACGACTTGGGACACTAGCATTAGTCGCTATTGCACGACACTTACAAGACACGGATCTAAAACTTTGTGTCTTCTGACGACTTGGGACACTAGCATTAGTCGCTATTGCAAAACACTTAAAGACATGGATCTAAAACTTTGTGTCTTCTGACGACTTGGGACACTAGCATTAGCCGCTATTGCATGACACTTACAAGACATGGATCTAAAACTTTATGTCTTCTGACGACTTGGGACACTAGCATTAGTCGCTATTTCAAAACACTTAAAGACACGGGTCTAAAACTGTGTGTCTTCTGACGACTTGGGACACTAGCATTAGTCGCTATTGCACGACACTTAAAGACACGGATCTAAAACTTTATGACTTTGACGACTTGGGACACTAGCATTAGTCGCTATTGCACGACACTTACAAGACATGGATCTAAAACTGTGTGTCTTCTGACGACTTGGGACACTAGCATTAGTCGCTATTGCACGACACTTACAAGAGACGGATCTAAAACGTTGTGTCTTCTGACGACTGGGGACACTAGCATTAGTCGCTATTGCACGACACTTAAAGACACGGATCTAGAACTTTATGACTTTGACGACTTGGGACACTAGCATTAGTCGCTATTGCAAAACACTTAAAGACACGGGTCTAAAACTTTGTGTCTTCTGACACTAGCATTAGTCGCTATTGCACGACACTTAAAGACACGGATCTAAAACTGTGTGTCTTCTGACGACTTGGGACACTAGCATTAGTCGCTATTGCATGACAATTACAAGACACGGATCTAAAACTTTGTGTCTTCTGACGACTTGGGACACTAGCATTAGTCGCTATTGCAAAACACTTAAAGACACGGATCTAGAACTTTGTGTCTTCTGACGACTTTGGACACTAGCATTAGTAGCTATTGCACGGCACTTAAAGACACAGATCTAGAACTTTATGTCTTTGACGACTGGGGACACTAGCATTAGTCGCTATTGCACGACACTTACAAGACACGGATCTAAAACTGTGTGTCTTCTGACGACTTGGGACACTAGCATTAGTAGCTATTGCACGACACTTACAAGACACGGATCTAAAACTGTGTGTCTTCTGACGACTTGGAACACTAGCATTAGTCGCTATTGCACGACACTTAAAGACACGGATCTGGAACTTTATGACTTTGACGACTTGGGACACTAGCATTAGTCGCTTTTGCATGACACTTACAAGACATGGATCTAAAACTTTATGACTTTGACGACTTGGGACACTAGCATTAGTCGCTATTGCACGACACTTGCAAGACACGGATCTAAAATTTGTGTCTTCTGACGACTTGGGACACTAGCATTAGCCGCTATTGCACGACACTTACAAGACATGGATCTAAAACTTTATGTCTTTGACGACTTGGGACACTAGCATTAGTCGCTATTGCAAAACACTTAAAGACACGGGTCTAAAACTGTGTGTCTTCTGACGACTTGGGACACTAGCATCAGTCGCTATTGCACGACACTTAAAGACATGGATCTAGAACTTTATGACTTTGACGACTTGGGACACTAGCATTAGTCGCTATTGCACGACACTTACAAGACATGGATCTAAAACTGTGTGTCTTCTGACGACTTGGGACACTAGCATTAGTCGCTATTGCACGACACTTACAAGAGACGGATCTAAAACGTTGTGTCTTCTGACGACTTGGGACACTAGCATTAGTCGCTATTGCATGACACTTAAAGACACGGATCTAGAACTTTATGACTTTGACGACTTGGGACACTAGCATTAGTCGCTATTGCAAAACACTTAAAGACACGGGTCTAAAACTTTGTGTCTTCTGACACTAGCATTAGTCGCTATTGCACGACACTTAAAGACACGGATCTAAAACTGTGTGTCTTCTGACGACTTGGGACACTAGCATTAGTCGCTATTGCATGACAATTACAAGACATGGATCTAAAACTTTGTGTCTTCTGACGACATGGGACACTAGCATTAGTCGCTATTGCACGACACTTAAAGACATGGATCTAGAACTTTGTGTCTTCTGACGACTTTGGACACTAGCATTAGTCGCTATTGCACGGCACTTAAAGACACGGATCTAGAACTTTATGTCTTTGACGACTTGGGACACTAGCATTAGTCGCTATTGCAAAACACTTAAAGACGCGGGTCTAAAACTTTGTGTCTTCTGACACTAGCATTAGTCGCTATTGCACGACACTTAAAGACACGGATCTAAAACTGTGTGTCTTCTGACGACTTGGGACACTAGCATTAGTCGCTATTGCATGACAATTACAAGACAGTCGCTAGCATTGTCTTCTGACGACTTGGGACACTAGCATTAGTCGCTATTGCATGACAATTACAAGACAGTCGCTAGCATTAGTCGCTATTGCACGACACTTAAAGACACGGATCTAGAACTTTATGACTTTGACGACTTGGGACACTAGCATTAGTCGCTATTGCAAAACACTGAAAGACACGGGTCTAAAACTTTGTGTCTTCTGACACTAGCATTAGTCGCTATTGCACGACACTTAAAGACACGGATCTAAAACTGTGTGTCTTCTGACAACTTGGGACACTAGCATTAGTCGCTATTGCATGACAATTACAAGACACGGATCTAAAACTTTGTGTCTTCTGACGACTTGGGACACTAGCATTAGTCGCTATTGCACGACACTTAAAGACACGGATCTAGAACTTTGTGTCTTCTGACGACTTTGGACACTAGCATTAGTCGCTATTGCACGGCACTTACAAGACACGGATCTAAAACTGTGTGTCTTCTGACGACTTGGGACACTAGCATTAGTCGCTATTGCATGACAATTACAAGACACGGATCTAAAACTTTGTGTCTTCTGACGACATGGGACACTAGCATTAGTCGCTATTGCACGACACTTAAAGACATGGATCTAGAACTTTGTGTCTTCTGACGACTTTGGACACTAGCATTAGTCGCTATTGCACGGCACTTAAAGACACGGATCTAGAACTTTATGTCTTTGACGACTTGGGACACTAGCATTAGTCGCTATTGCAAAACACTTAAAGACACGGGTCTAAAACTTTGTGTCTTCTGACACTAGCATTAGTCGCTATTGCACGACACTTAAAGACACGGATCTAAAACTGTGTGTCTTCTGACGACTTGGGACACTAGCATTAGTCGCTATTGCATGACAATTACAAGACAGTCGCTAGCATTGTATTCTGACGACTTGGGACACTAGCATTAGTCGCTATTGCATGACAATTACAAGACAGTCGCTAGCATTAGTCGCTATTGCACGACACTTAAAGACACGGATCTAGAACTTTATGACTTTGACGACTTGGGACACTAGCATTAGTCGCTATTGCAAAACACTTAAAGACACGGGTCTAAAACTTTGTGTCTTCTGACACTAGCATTAGTCGCTATTGCACGACACTTAAAGACACGGATCTAAAACTGTGTGTCTTCTGACGACTTGGGACACTAGCATTAGTCGCTATTGCATGACAATTACAAGACACGGATCTAAAACTTTGTGTCTTCTGACGACTTGGGACACTAGCATTAGTCGCTATTGCACGACACTTAAAGACACGGATCTAGAACTTTGTGTCTTCTGACGACTTTGGACACTAGCATTAGTCGCTATTGCACGGCACTTAAAGACACGGATCTAAGACTTTGTGTCTTCTGACGACTTGGGACACTAGCATTAGTCGCTTTTGCACGACACTTAAAGACACGGATCTAGAACTTTGTGTCTTCTGACGACTTGGGACACTAGCATTAGTCGCTATTGCACGACACTTAAAAGACGTGGATCTAAAACTGTGTGTTTCTTTGTCTTCCGACGAACTGGGACATGAACATATTGCACGTTACTGAAAAGACGATGATAAAATATATTTTCAACCCAAGAGCTGAGGCAGCTTTTCTTAGTGTATTCTCGTGGGTATGGGAGACATTACCTGTGGTGGCACCTGCTGTAGCTCCACCACTCGTTCGCCCAGCAGCAGGGGTGTGGCCGAACGGTATGGTGCCGATAGTGATGGGAAGGATGGTCTCATGGTTATATCCCAAAGGCACCTCAACCAGTACCTGGTTGATAAACTAAATGCATTTACTGTCTTATTGGGAAAAGGTGGAAAATGAAACATGTTATTCTTGGGGTTCCACATTCTCAGTAAAGTGGGTTACATTTGATTTTGTGCTTGTGATTAGATACCTCTCTCTCCGAGAGTTTAGATTCTAATCCTGGATGGAAGTTATTCCCCAGAAGCACTGGAATTTGTTCTGTATTGAGAATGTGTAATCCCCAATAATATGTAACTTACATTTGACCACTATCTCAAAGGCATTCATAAGTGTTCATGGGTGAAAGGTTTCGGTTTCAGGTTGTTCGAATTTGGAAAGTAATACTGAGGACACTGAGGTGTTAGACGTTAACCACATTGGTGGAACCAAAGAGAAATGGTACTGACGCACGAAGAATATTAGTCTCGGAAATCTGGGATTCGAACCTAACACAGGCCGCAAACCAGTACACAGCACCGTGGCACCATAAATTGTTGTGGTTAGGGAATTGGGTCCCTCACCCACCTTTCCTTGTATTTGTAGTCTCTTTTCATGACGCTATGTTTTCTAATGTTACCACGAGGCAAGGGCGAATTGAGATCTGTCAGAAAACATATCACCGAACTGATGGTCCTTCATGGCAAATATTATTGATTTATTTTGTAGTATGAAAATACACAGAAATGTCGACAACGTGACCTGAGGGCAGTGACCTACCTTGATGTAGTAGCTGACGGCGATGATTTCACAGGAACTGGTCTTCGTCGACGGTGGAATGACGTCTACGTCCAGCAGTTGGTTGTTCCACACCCGCTCCTCTCCCTGGACAACAGGAAAGCATGTTAAGGTTTTGAATTTTAACGTCTTTAGACTTCTCCATCATTTGCTGATACTGATTCCACAAAGGCCACAATAGAGGTGAAACATATGAAATGGTCACTTGAAATGACACCAGGTGATAAGAATGACTAGCTCTTCATGCATGTTTGTGTATGGCCAAACGTCCTACGCAGTAATACCCCGATTGTTGAAGTGATGTGTTCCATAATGGCGTCTATTGTATCCTGAAGCTGTTCAATGTTCTACCCGACTTGCGACTTGTAAACACGTGGAAAGATTTTGGTTTCCGTCCTAGGATGGTCGTTATTGGCATGAGGCAATCCTAACATTTTAACACATAAGTGTTGAACTGAAGCGATAGGGTCTCTATTCCTTGTTTCCTGCAGAAGATTAATGTTCTGCTTGGCCTGGTTTCCATTCCTTGATTCACCCTGATACATGAGTCCTGATACTACTGATACACGGGATACCTGATACATGAGTCCTGATACTACTGATACACGAGATACCTGATACACGAGATACCTGAAACATGAGTCATGATACTACTGATACACGAGATACGTGATACATGAGTCCTGATACTACTGATACACGAGATACCTGATACACGAGATACCTGATATATGAGTCATGATACTACTGGTACACGAGATACCTGATACATGAGTCATGATACTGCTGATACACGAGATACCTGATACATGAGTCCTGATACTACTGATACACGAGATACCTGATATATGAGTCCTGATACTACTGATACACGAGATACCTGATACGCGAGATACCTGATACATGAGTCCTGATACTACTGATACACGAGATACCTGATACATGAGTCATGATACTACTGATACATGAGATACCTGATACATGAGTCCTGATACTACTGATACACGAGATACATGATACATGAGTCCTGATACTATTGGTACACGAGATACCTGATACATGAGTCATGATACTACTGGTACACTAGATACCTGGTACACGAGATACCTGATACATGAGTCCTGATACTACTGATACACGAAATATCTGATACATGAGTCATGATACTACTGGTACACGAGATACCTGATACATGAGTCCTGATACTACTGATACACGAGATACCTGATACATGAGTCCTGATACTACTGATACACGAGATACCTGATACATGAGTCCTGATACTAATGGTACACGAGATACCTGATACATGAGTCATGATACTACCGATACACGAAATACCTGATACATGTGTCCTGATACTACTGATACACGAAATACCTGATACATGAGTCCTGATACTACTGATACACGAGATACCTGATACATGAGTCCTGATACTACTGATACACGAGATACCTGATACATGAGTCCTGATACTACTGATACACGAGATACCTGATACATGAGTCCTGATACTACTGATACCCGAGATACCTGATACATGAGTCCTGATACTACTGATACACGAGATACCTGATACACGAGATACCTGATACATGAGTCCTGATACTACTGATACACGAGATACCTGATACACGAGATACCTGATACATGAGTCCTGATACTACTGATACACGAGTTACCTGATACACGAGATACCTGATACATGAGTCCTGATACTACTGATACACGAGATACGAGGGTACTGATACACGAGATACCTGATACATGAGTCCTGATACTACTGATACACGAGATACCTGATACATGAGTCCTGATACTACTGATACACGAGATACCTGATACATGAGTCCTGATACTACTGATACCCGAGATACCTGATACACTGACAATTGAGATACCTGATACATGAGTCATGATACTGCTGATACACGAGATACCTGATACATGAGTCCTGATACTACTGATACACGAGATACCTGATATATGAGTCCTGATACTACTGATACACGAGATACCTGATACGCGAGATACCTGATACATGAGTCCTGATACTACTGATACACGAGATACCTGATACATGAGTCATGATACTACTGATACATGATATACCTGATACATGAGTCCTGATACTACTGATACACGAGATACATGATACATGAGTCCTGATACTATTGGTACACGAGATACCTGATACATGAGTCATGATACTACTGGTACACTAGATACCTGGTACACGAGATACCTGATACATGAGTCCTGATACTACTGATACACGAAATATCTGATACACGAGATACCTGATACATGAGTCCTGATACTACTGATACACGAGATACCTGATACATGAGTCATGATACTACTGGTACACGAGATACCTGATACATGAGTCCTGATACTAATGATACACGAGATACCTGATACATGAGTCCTGATACTACTGATACACGAGATACCTGATACATGAGTCCTGATACTAATGGTACACGAGATACCTGATACATGAGTCATGATACTACTGATACACGAAATACCTGATACATGAGTCCTGATACTACTGATACACGAAATACCTGATACATGAGTCCTGATACAACTGATACACGAGATACCTGATACATGAGTCCTGATACTACTGATACACGAGATACCTGATACATGAGTCCTGATACTACTGATATGCGATACCCGAGATACCTGATACATGAGTCCTGATACTACTGATACACGAGATACCTGATACATGAGTCCTGATACTACTGATACACGAGATACCTGATACACGAGATACCTGATACATGAGTCCTGATACTACTGATACACGAGATACCTGATACACGAGATACCTGATACATGAGTCCTGATACTACTGATACACGAGTTACCTGATACACGAGATACCTGATACATGAGTCCTGATACTACTGATACACGAGATACCTGATACACGAGATACCTGATACATGAGTCCTGATACTACTGATACACGAGATACCTGATACATGAGTCCTGATACTACTGATACACGAGATACCTGATACATGAGTCCTGATACTACTGATACACGAGATACCTGATACATGAGTCCTGATGCTACTGATACACGAGATACCTGATACATGAGTCCTGATACTACTGATACACGAGATACCTGATACACGAGATACCTGATATATACTTGATACTCAGCAATATGTCCGTTGTCAAGGTTGTTGCCAACGTGGGGAACAAATATGAATCGCGTCACTGAGGACGTGTTTTCCTACTCGAGTCCTTGATATGATAACCTAACACACTAACAATCACTTTCAGTATGACCAACCTTCATGACTGGAGTTCCCTCCAGGATCCTGATAACGTTCTGCCGAGTCTTCGTCTCATCATTGGCTGTGTAGACAACTTTCTGCTCCAACTGAGCCTTCAGTTTCCCCATGTTCTTCGTTGACTCGTTCTGCACCACAACTGAAACCCAGGTTTGATTTTATAACTCGAGCTTACAACAGCCCGCAAATATGCTTCAGATTAGACGTGTCTTTCAGAGTTGCAACATAGTGTACCTTTAAGTGCGACCTTTTCTCCTGCGCAATAAGCTCCCCTGTCAGTGGCAGCAGTCAAGGTCAGAGAACCAGCATCTCCTAAACCAAGAGCCTTAGAAACCTGTTTCTTTGCCTGACGTCGTACCGATGCCTGTCATCAAGAACATAACATTTTAGTTGAGTGTTGAATGTTAAAATGGCCCCACATGCAAGACAGAAACAACAGACGTAACGTTATACCACAGATTATTGTGCCAGTATTCCAGCCATATCATGAAGCGGAACAGCAAAATGGGCTTCACACATGGTCTCTGCTTTGGAGAACAAATCTTCGTCTATGGGGTCACTTACTCAACGCTAAAATCCTTACTTGCCAGAGAATTGTATTCAGTGGTGTGTCATTGCTACGGCTGGTACACCTAACACTTAAGATACAAAGTGTAAACCGCGAAAGGTACAAAGTGTTAACCGCGAAAGGTACAAAGTGTAAACCACTAAACGTACAAAGTGTAAACCTCGAAAGGTACAAAGTTATATCATGCTGACTACCGATATACTGTTACCTTATACTGTGAGTCGTTGACGTTGATATTGTCCAGTATGGTGAAACCGCGGTACCAACACTGGTTTAAGTTGGAGGTCGGCCTGTCCACCTCAACCTTGACCCAGAATCTGATGGCGCCAAACTCTCCTTCGAAGGAGGACGGAAGGTCTTTATTTGGGAGTTTGAGCTTGTACCTGTAATTGTGGCGTCCCGCTGTCAGGGTGTGGTTTGGTCCAGTGGCGTCTACTAGGAGACAGATGTGAGATATTGTTGTTGTTAATATTGAAAGAAAAAGCAATGAGAAAGTGAGTATTGTTTAACGCCATGGTCAGCGACAATCTAGACTGATCACGGCGGCGTGTGATCAACGGGTGAACCAGTGGTGGCGTGCATGACAAACGAGGAAGTTAGGCTTATCTAAGGCCGAAGTCAGTATTATCTATATATTTTATTTGTTATTATGTTTATACAGATTAAGATGAAAATGCAGCAGAGAGGGTTCGGGTGATTCTGGCACAGTCAGGCTGGTAAGGCTCATCTCAGGGTCAGTTGAATCAGATGTTGATAGGATATGAAATGATCACCGACGTCGGATGGCAATGAGCATAGAAGCAACTTCAGTTGACTCTTACAACACGCAGGGGCTACTGGGGCGCGATCCACAAAGCGTTCGTACGTCATTCGTAAGCCTATGACAAACTAAACAGTTACAATAGCTCGTAACATTACAAACACTTTGAGGATCGGGACCTTGTGACTGATTGCAGATCTTAATCTTATGACTATATGAAAACATCAGTTAGTTTCACGAACAGTTTTTGAAATATACTACCCATCAAAAGTTTAAACTCACTAGTATAAATGTAGCCACTTACTTCAGTCAACTGTTCGAAACTAGATTTTGCAAAATATTCCATACTGTTTAAGGTACTGTTTACACATGAACTGATGTATTGTAAAATAAATTCGCAAAGTTGAAAAGATTATTGTCATGACTTCAATAAATGATGAAACTCAGTAAAAATTGGTGAATTCTTAACAAAACGTCACACAAAAACGCAGCTGTTCAAATGCACGATATTTGCACATGCTTTTCAGCAATTTAATGCATGATCCTCATGTAATTCATCTGAATAAGGTTTGCAGTTGGCTCCCCTAAGTTAGTGGAGAAATTCATCTTCGATGTAACCACATATTATAGTGAGTGCTTTAAGTGAGTCTAAACTTTTGATGGGTAGTATACATTAATTCAGGTTTGTAACGAACAGACGGATATAACGAACAGACGGGGATTTTTTCTCTTGTTTTCTTTGTCTGACTGGACCACATGCGGTATATCACCGTAGAAAAGCGTATAGGTTATGACAACTAGGTAACTGGTCCTTTTGAGTTCGCCATAACTGTAATTTATTGTGAATGAATTAACTTAAAAAGCATTTCAACACTCAACGGTTCATCTGATTATAATTGTAGTCTTTTAAAACTATAAACTAAACCATACTTTGATATTATCCAACGCCAAAACGGAAATAGATGGTGATATGAAACCTTGCAAAAATGCGCCATCAAGAGACGTAAGAGATTTTGATTCACCGCAACGCACATCACATTGTGCACGTTCTGGTTGAAGTGTATGCTATCAGTTTACAAAGCAAACCCCTGTTGACCTATTTCATATGAGAAATACTGTTTCCATTTGAAGCCTGATATTCACTGAAATACTATCATTAGGGAGCGTTTATAATCTGTGGCGGGCGGTGATGATGATTTTTATATTTTTATGGAGAAGCATGTACAATGTGAATGACCCCCACCCGCCCCACCCCTAACACTTATGTATAAAGTAAGTGACCTCCCTGCATGTCATCTTCAAAATCAATGACCCTCCCCCCTAGTTCATGTGTAAAAAAGGATGACCCCCGTACGTATACAGAACAAAATTTCAATCATCATTATGAACGGCCCCTTATAGAATCTAATGGCCTATGACAGATTAGACGCATTCAGGAGAACTCTTCAACTATAAATACTACAAGCGAGTCCGGCAATTCCGCGCGTCCGGTAATTCTGCGCAATATTCGGAAATTAGGCCAGAAGGAATAAAAACGATAATTCTATTTCATATTTGCAAACATTTTGTCGGCATTCCTAAATATTATGGAATGTGTTTACATACGTGTCTTGCCAAATACTGTATAAACTAATCCGAAGTATTTTTCTTTGGCGATGTAATCCTTGGTCCCTCCAAGACTCCCAGGTGACAACTCGTCCCACTTGACCAGCGTCTCCCCATACAGGTAAACTCGGACCCCCTTCACTGTGACATCCTCTGTGACGTCCAACACTAACGATCCCGTCACTGTCTCCCCCTTCCGGTACACTTCCTTCTTGTCGTCTAGAAGCACTGCGCATGTCTGGAATATCGGCATCGTTCAGACCAAAAGAAAAAGACTCGTGACACTAATGTCTTTGTGCTGATGAATGAGAAATTACCGAGTCGGATGTACAGGTTGATAGCGTCTTATGTAGGGGTGTTACAGCTCCGAGTATTATAAACAATACATTGCGACATACATATGACAGTAGATCAGGTGACTGCAGCGATGTTTTGAGTGTACACCCGAGATGATATAAGATATACTATCACGATAACGCTGCAATATACGACACCAGAACGCGAGGCTATCTTAAACGAGCATTCAAACGAGCATAGATAGTATAAATTACACATGTAATGACGTCGTAAAAGTCAACGGAATTTGCCAGATGACTGTATATTCAATGAGCGTTTATTTAGAATAACACACATATACTGAACCAAAAAAGTTTAGCATGTTATCTTTTTGTAAATTTTTAATGAAGATTTGCTGGTGCCAAAAGTCAAGCTTGATGTCAAACAATGAGAAAATGTTAACTCTATGTTAACAACCAAATCCGGTCAATGGTTGGACGATAGTTGAGACGTGTTGACAACCCGGATGTTGCACGACGACAATTGCTTACGTCCTGTGGAGCATAAAAGGGTGGATGTTGCACACTGACATCACTGTTGCAAGAAAGTGAACAGTGATAAATGCAGCTGACAATGGAGCGTCAGCCAGGATTTAATGAAAACCAACGCCAAGAAGCCATGGGGCTATTTCATGCGAGATAGAGTGTAAGGGACATCGCCATGAAAGCACAATTCGGCGTCGTCGACAACGGGTGCAACAGGCTGGTGAAGTTGGGTATCGACCCAGGTCAGGTAGGCCCCATGCAACAAGGATCGTCATCTGGTGACGTCATCGAGACGTCACAGGACGATGAGAGGAGCACGTCTAGCCAACGAGGTACGACAATCAACGGGTGCATGCATCCGAAATCGCCTTCAATCAGCGAGTTACATGCGCAACGACCAGTAGTTGGCGTGCCGTTGACACAACGTCATTTAAACGAAAGACTGACATGGGCCCAAATTCATCAACATTGGTGACGGCAGCAGTGGAATCAGACGTATTGATGCAGACAGTCTACAAAACATACATTTTGAAAACATATTTCTGTTTTTGAAATCCAGATTTAAATTTTCCACTGCATTAGTCAGGTGGCTAGAGTAGGTGCGTTCCTCAGGAACAAGTCTTCTAGTTGAGGAAAAGTTTCATGTTTCACGTTTTTCACAGACAGAAAATGACGCCTCCGAACACCCCTGAACCTCCATGCTGAACATGCCTTTCCCCCTAGAGGAGGTGATATTTGTTTGATATTTAGAGAATAACCAACGAGGTACGAGTGATTACGGGAAATATGCCCGAGTTGAAACAATGTTCACAGTGCTGAGGCACTGCACATTATTTTAACGAGGGCACATTTCCCGTAATCACTCGTACCTCGTTAGTTATTCTATTTATTACCCATAATGTAATTCAAAAAGAAGAACCACGAAATTAAAAACACCTGGAGACAGGACTTGTGGCCGCAAACAGCTGATTCGTATTCATGCACGTATTAAACCTAACTTGTCCAGTGGTAATAACATAACTACGCTATGGAAAATAGAACCTCGTAAAATCGCTTTAAAATACAACAAAAAAGTGTTTATGGAATAATATATTAACATTTGTTAATAAACACACTTTGGCAAAAACCTGTCAAGTTTTGGGAAAGTCGTCGGTTAAAACTTGGGAAATCTAAAAGCCAACCATTCCACGAATACATCTAGAAAAAAATTGTGTCAAGAAACCCAACAGGTTGGAAGATTAAACAACATTTTGTTCTGTGGAAGGCGTGTTACAGTCACGTCATTGGTCCCAAGAAAGTACAGCAGTTCCAAGAAGGATAACTCTAGTCGGAATCCGAGTCAATGAAATGTGTCAATCTCTGCATCGGATACTGGGACAAACCTTTCGTACTGATTAGAAATGCACGGATAAAAAATTCATTTAGCACTGATTCCGATAAGAAAGAAGCTGATGGCATGGACGCCGTGGCAGATCGACTCACTTGTTACACTTTAAGGTAACGCCTTTAGTCAGTATCTTGCTGCTTCTATTTCCCCGAATTCAGTTTAAACAACAAACAGGTTGTTGGAATTCAAGGGCTGTAAAATTCTTATCAGTCTTCCTATTAGGTCACCGACAACTTTAACTAGATCATTGTGGTTGATCGGGGTTAGCCTAATGGCGGCCATGTTTTTTTACAAACGATTGTTTTGAGTTTCTTATAGGTTGTTTATTTTATAAAAACTACTATTTATAATGCAATTTTATTGCAAAATAATAATGTCTAATAAAAAGAGTATTCATATTCTTTAACCTTTATCTTTTCTTTTTTAAATCTCGGAATGTGTGAGTACAGCACGTTCTAATTACCAATGAAACGGTAACAGTTGTCAATGAACTTGGATCATGAAAAGTAGTTCTGTCAACCAATCATATTTCTTCTCTGCTTAGCTGACCAATCAACGCTGAAAACCACTAAAAAGCACATGTGCGATTATCACAAAAATAATCACCTGTGTATCCTAGCCCGTATAGGTAATAACATTGAATAACATCAGAATGAATAACTTAGAGGTGAGGTGAAAGTGGGTTTAGCGTCGTGCTTGAGAATATTTCGCTCATATGACGACGTGCATGCGTGTGTATGTGTATGTGCGGCTGCTTGTACTAGCCCAGACTGAAGCTGGTTTTATAGTGCTAGCCCACTGAGATACCATGCCGCAGTGATGCCTGAATACCCCACTCAGACACATTATACTGACTCCGACCTGACCAGTCCTTGTTGTACCCATTAATGCCGAGCACCAGGCAGGGACCAACAAGTACCATATTTTAACGTCTTTTGGTATGACACGGTCGGGGATCGAACCCGCGACCTTCCGCTCTCTGGGCGGACGCTCTAACCACTACACCACGAAGGCGGTCGACTCACTTAGATTGGACTCAAAGTAAGTTTAAGCTACTGGGTATGATGTGTGATATTGACCTTGACAAAATGGTGAAATTGAATTACGATAATATGGTAAAAAACATAGAGAATGAAATGAAGTTATGGTCAATAAGTACACTTACCCCAATCGGTAGAAATGTTAGTTTGAAATCCCTATTACTCTCTAAAATAAACCATTTATTTTCCTCAATTCCATCACCCAGATGAGATAATAGATAAAGCCTGCTTCAGATTTATATGGAAAGACAAACCTGATAAAATTAAAAGAAACCATTTGCTATCCTCATATGGAGGAATTAGTGTCCATCACCCCCATTTATGAGATACAATATCATGGATAAAGCCTGTATTCCAGTAGCTGCAAATGGAAAGCATTATTGAAAATTGTGTACCTAACTGATAGACTTTAAAGCTGATCCTGAATATATGGAAAAACACCTAAAACCTTACATAAGAAATCTTTTTTGGAGAGATGTAATCTCTGCATGGGGATCATATTTACAAAAACAATTTAAGACATTAAACTCATATGACATGTTAAACCAATGTATTTGGCTTAATTATATGTTTAACATAGGTAACGAGACAATTTTATAAACAATTGGTACAATGCAGGTATACACTTTATTTATGATCTAATGAATCATACTGCAGGGGAATTGTATACTTATGAAGTATATCAACTCAAAACAAATATCTTATGATATCATAGCATCAAATCTTCCATAATTGCCTGCTTAAAGAGATGACAAATAATTATTCCCAAACACTACCATTTTCCCCAATACTACCATTCAATATATCCAAACTTAGTCTAAGGGTTAAAGGCTCCAAAACGTTTTATTTTTCTTTACTTGAACTAATTACAATAAATCATATGCCCATAAAAAGTGGGAAAGAGTCTTTGAAACACAGTACGATAACACAATGCTACGAAACTTATATATGATGCCAAATCGATGTACAAAATAATAATATCGCCATTGTGTGCAAAAACCGTGAAGATCCGGGTTAGAATTGTCTTAAGTAACTCATGCTTGTCGTTAGAGGCGACAAACGGGATCGGGTTGTCAGACTCGCTGACTTGGTTGTCACTTGTCATCGTATCCCACTTGCGTAGATCGATGCTTTTGCTGTTAATCACTCGATTGTCTGGCCCATACTCGATTATTTACAGGCCGCTAGAACATTGCTGTATTGCTGTGTGTGGCGTTAAACAACAAACCAACCAAAACCATTGTGTGAAAATCGGAGTTACAAAAACACTTTCAACGGACAAACAGCTTGCATACAGACAGGAGATAGATATATGAGTTCACAAATGAAACGAACATAAAGATAAACTTTATAGACAACAATTCTTACAGAGAACCTAATAAACACAAGGCAAAGATCTGCGCATGTGGATACACAGTTTAGGAGTAGGTTCCCTGATATAGGGCGAAGCCCCACTGGTGCGTGACGTGGTGAGTTTAGTTTTACGCCGCACTCAGCAACACTCCAGCTATATGACGGTGGTCGGTAAATAATCGAGTCTGGACCAGACAATCCAGTAATCAACAGTATGAGCATCGATCTGCGCAATTGGGAACCGATGATATGCGTCAACCGAGCCAGCGAGCCCGACCACCCGAGCCGTTAGTCGCCTCTTACGACAAGCACGGGTTACTGACGGCCAATTCTAACCCGGACCTTCACGGGTCCTTTTCCCACTAGGATACCCCACCGCCATCCGGATGTTATGAAATGGTGTTGCTTAATTATATATACATATATGTACATATACATATATGTACATATATAAGTGGTAACGTTATCCCATGGGGCAAGGTATATTCACCTATACATTTATCATGCAAGGTTCGGTCATCTGGTAATTTCCGTTGACAATTACGAAGCAAATGTTTGTGTAACATATATTATCATTAAACGCTCATTGCGAAACATACTAGGGGCGTAAATTCCAGTGTTATCATGAAGGTGTACATTCAGAGCATCGCAGCAGTCACCTGATCTATATGCGCATGTTGCATTGTACTGTATATAAAACAGGGAGCTATAACATCGCCTTATCGCATACTACACCGCACACAACGCTGTGCTCAGTGCAGTAACAAGAACTACCTACATAATACGTTATCAATCCATACCTGGGACTTCGTACTTTGCCATTCGTCTGCAGAAACATATCAGTTGTCACAGTTCGTTTTCTCTTCGGCTGAACGATGGCGCTATTCAAGACATGCGCAGTGCTGTTAGACGGCAAGAAGGAAGTGTACCGGAAGGGCGATACAGTGACGGGATCGTTAGAACTGGACGTCAGACGTAACGTCACAGTGAAATGGGTCCGAGTTTACCTCTGTGGGCAGACGCTGGTCTTGTGGGGCGGGTCCACCAATCGAGTAAAGGACTCAGAAAAATATTGCGAATACTCTTGTACCGTTGAAGGTAAGTTTATAAAACTTCACAAACGTGCAATAAAATCAATCTGGAGAAACAAATTTCCAGCGGACAAAATTAATCAGTTCAAGAAGGTGAGTGGCCGATTTTCAAATATTGCCCCTGTGTCTTTGAATTTGCATTTTGGGATATGTGGTTCCTTGAGGTTTCCATGTAAAAACTGCTGTCAGTATTAGGTTTTAAGAATCCCGACTCGGCCTCACACAAAATATGCATCAACATGTTCTTTTTACTTTTGAAGACCTATGAAGGTCCGGGTTAGAATATTGATCTTCAGTAACCCATGCTTGTCGTAAGAGGCGACTAACGCGATCGGATGGTCAGGCTCGCTGACTTGGTTGACACATGTCCTCGGTTCCCAATTGCGCAGAATGATGCTCATGCTGTTGATCACTGGATTGTCTGGTCCAGACTCGATTGTTTACAGACCACCGCCATATAGCTGGAATATTGCTGAGTATGGCGTATTTTCATGTAAATTCCTTTATTTATGATTATGTGGGATTCACAAAAAAACGTTAAAGCAATATTTGAGATGGTAATTATTTGTGGTCACGTAATGATCGTCATCTTGTCGTTTCTAAATGGTACCAAGTAACCATTACTAAGCACTCTTCACTGAATGTTTCCGACAATGTGAGAAGCTTCGATGTTAAGTGTTTGAACTGTGATGTTACATTGTAAGTTGCATTATGTTTAAGTTGAGTGTGCAAACGATTCAATGTATTAATTAAAGCAGTCACCGTCGGTAAAATAACTGTATACACAGTGAACTCATAAACAGCTAATCGGCTGGTTTTCGAACTCTGTTCACTGCACGCGTCATATTATGACATCATACGATTGTTAGCGATACAGCTTCTCGGCGGAGAGTTTGGCGGTTACCGTGGCAGCGTAATATTTTATGAAGGTAAGATAAGGAAACTTGTTAAAGCGTCCTTGACCAATGAAAGTATGTTACATGAAGGCAAGGTAGTGGGATGTCAACTGACTCCACAGATAACTAGTGATGTTACGGCCATTATCGACGACCTCCCTTGAAACCAAATCCCTCATATGAAGTAGGTCAACGTGAATTATATCTGTAAATATATGGAATTGATTCTGAGCCAAGAGTCAAAACCAGGAACTTTAAACCGTTGACTGCCCTGCACAATATGTATCAGACGGACCATTAGCCTTTGTGCGAATATTTCAGTTATTGTGCGGAATGTGAAATTACAGTGAACGTATACAAATAGACATTTCAGATTGTGATGTATTCATCAGCGAACCTTTGTGTGTAATTTGGTATGCCATAAAATAATCGCATTTGAACAACCATGCTGAAAGTTGATACACTCCATAACACTAATTCATTGACTTCAGAATTTGTTCGGTACGCTGGGGTAGCCTAGTGGTTAAAGCGTCAGCTCGTCACGCCGAAGCTCCGGGTTCGATTCCACACATGGGTACAATGTGTGAAGCCAATTTCTGGTGTCGCCCTTGGGGGATATTGCTGGAATATTGCTAAAAGCGGCGTAACAGTAAACTCATTCACTCACACATAGTTTGTTCATGACACTAAATCACATTTCCATGTGGTCCAGAGATGCCTGCCCATGCTTGTCGTAAGAGGCGACTAAACCGAATGTCGATGGTCACTCTGATTGGTCGTCATACACAGAGCATAAACTATTACACGAGCATGTGTGTCATACGAATTATGCAAAACGAGTGTGAAGTTAGTATTGCCCGAACGAGAGCGACGGCAATACGTAATTTTGCACGAGTTTCGTATACTATGACACGCTTGCTCTAGTGTACATAATGTATGTACATTTGTGCAGTAAAACACGATTAGCAAGTGTGACAGTCCTCTCCCTTGACGTCACGTTCAGTTGTTTAATGACGTCACAGGCGACGAAATACAGAAACAATGGTTGTTAGACAAAGGTGATATGTTCACATGTGCACATGATGTAGATGACACTGGTTATGTTTCACCATAATCATCATAAATCTCCTGTTCCTGACTATAAGCCTCAATAGGCTAGACTATTGTTGATTGCGGCATTTAACAGCACTCACTTCCTCATTCCTTGTATCTGTCCATATTAATAACAAAAAACAACAACATTGTTACCTCTATCTCCTATGAAACGCAACTGGATCAAACCACACACTGACAGCGGGACAGCACAATTACACGTTCAAATTCACAATCCCAAAGAAAAGCCTTCCGTCATCTTTCGAGGGCAAACATGGCGCCATCAGATACTGGATCCAGGTTGAGGTGGTGATGACGTTCCCCTTCTTCAACCAGTGGTGGTACGACGGCATCACCATACTGGACGACATCAACGTCAACGACTCTCCGTATAAGGTAATAGTATATGATTGCTCAACACAGTATAACTACATGTATGTGCCTTTTGAAGTTTATACTTTTGAGGTGTCGATTGTATGGTTATCAGCTAACAGCACACCGCTGAAAATATATAACAAATTTATGTCAGCGAAAGTGAAGTAGACTCATCATTAAAACGGTTTCTAAGTCGCGGTGAAGACCACGTGCGAAACCAGTAGGTCCTGTAAGTTTTGGGAGGGGCTACTTCCGGTACTCAGCTGCTTCCCAGCACCCTTGCGTTATGCGAGACGGGGGCCAGCTTACTTCCTTTACCAGGGCCTCCTTTCACAAAGCACTAAGGTGATCGTAAGTCACTAAGGTAACCCTATTAGTGCAATGTTAAAGAATGGGAGTCAAGGTTAACCTTAGTAAAGGTTGCTACGTGAAAGGAGCCCCAGATTTCCGGTCACAAGCGTATATTCAAGAACCAGTTTTAGTTCCAAATTGCGCAACCGCAACTTTACCAGACCAAAGCAAGTGTGCAACCATGCATGGCTGTCACAGCTGTTGACAATCGTAATAGATGGCTAATTTGGGAATTGTTAGATCGGAAATGTATTATTCCTGCAAGGATTATCGGTTCCTTACTATCAACTGACAACTATTCGAAAAGGTATGAAACATTGTTTGCCACCGTAAGTACTAAGGTTTCGCGAAGTTCCGTGACCTACCTACGGGCCCTATGTTGGTGTTTCCATTAATGGTGTCAATTCTTCACATGGTTACACTGAGCATATTCTGATAACGGGCGATGACACTTTACATCCAGTTGTGATATCAGAGGGGCGGTTCGGTAGCTAGCCTATGGTTAAAGCATTCGTTCGTCACGCTGAAGGTCCGGGTTCGATTCCCTACATGGGTACAATGTTAAAAGCCCAGTTCTGATGACCACCACCGTGACATTGCTGGAATATTGATAAAAACCGACACAAAACATACTCACTCATTCACTGAATACTGCCCTATAATACACTTCTGTATAATAAGTACACCATCTGACCCCGTGTGTGGAGTCTGTTTTGTGTTCACCGTCATGCTGTTTCTGAAATGGCTGCACAATTGCCGCAGACGTCCAACAACTCCGGTCCACTTGCACGTCATCGTCTCCCAATTGCGTAGATTGATGCCCTTGCTGTTGATCACCGGTATGTCTGGTCCTGACTCGATTATATACAGATCGCCGGTATATACCTGGAATATTGCTGAGTGCGGCGTTAAACAACACACCAACCAACCAGCCCAATAAACTACGTTTGTAGTAATTCTGTTCATTCATTTAAACCTGCCACATTTAACCTACATGTTATTGTTTTTATTTACAGGCACCTGTGCAGTGCCAGGCACAGAAACAGGTTTCTAAGGCTTTTAGTTGTGGAGATGCTGGTTCTTTGACCTTGACTGCTGAAACTGACAGGGGAGCTTACTGCGCAGGAGAAAAGGTCGCACTGAAAGGTACACTTTGTTCTTACACGGCCAAGCTGGAGGAACTATGTTGATAAGTTATGTTTTTAAAGCCATAGTAAATAATCAATCTTGTGTTCCAGTTGTTGTGAAGAACGAGTCAACGAGGAACCTGGGGAAACTGAAGGCTCAACTGGAGCAGAAAGTTGTCTACACAGCCGAACGTAAAACGAGGACAGAGCACAACGTTATTAGGATCGTAGAAGGAACACCAGTCATGAAGGTTGGGCAGCTTGATGCTTTGTGCAAAATACCGCGTCCTTTCTGACTTAGGGACCGTACATAATTTATGGCCAGGGGGGTGATGATGATTTTTATGGAGTAGCATGTACAATGTGAATGCCCCCCCTCCAAAAAAAATTGTATGTACAAAGTAAGTGACCCCCCTGCATGTCATGTACAAAATCAATGACCCAACTCCCCTTCCAATATTTTTAAAGCATAATTTATTTTTTTTATGTACAAAATGGCTGACCCCCCTAGAAACACGTGTACAAAATTGATGACCCCCTACCTCCCCAGAACAAAGTGGGTCAGCCCCCCATTAAAATCGTCATTAACCCCAATCCATAAATTATGAACGGTCCCTTAACTATCACTTCACAAAAATATATACTTCCTTTCAAAGGTTTAGACTCACTTGAAACACTCACTATATGTGATGTATACATATGTGGTTACATGGAATATTGATTTCTCCACTTATTTGGGGGAACCAACTGCAAACCTGACGCAGATGAATTGCACGAGGATCATGCATCAAATTGCTGAAAAGCATGTGCAAATATCGTGCATGTGTTTTGGTGTAAAGTTTTGTTAAGAATTCACCAATAGTCACTGATTTTACCATGTATTGAACTCACGACAATAATCTCTTCAATGCTACGAATTTGTTTTACAATATACCAGTTCATGTGTAACAGTATCTTTTAGCAGTATGCCTTAAGTAAGTGGCTATATTTACACTAGTGAGTGTAAACTTTTGAAAGGAAGTATATTTTGAAATAACATCCATTTTGAGGTCAAGGTTTTTTGGAGTTTTAAGGGTATTGTTTTGTACACGGCTGATGTCAAAATGTATTGCTGATGATGCATTCTCCAAACCTTGCCATTTCCGCTCAGTGAAATCGGTTTGGACAGATATTCGAGATACGTTATTTTTTTTGCTTTGATTATTCTAAGCATAGAAGATACTATATCATCCTGCACATTTGAAAATCCACTAATCCTTAATAAAATCGAAGCGTTACTTCTGTCCAGGGAGAGGATAGGGTATGGAAAGACCAACTACCTCTGGTCGACTTCATTCCACCGTCGACCAAGGCCAGATCCTGTCGCATCCTTGCCGTCAGGTACTTCATCACGGTAGGTCAGAAGACCTCATCAAACTTAGGGTTTCTATTTCATATCAAATTTTCTGTTTATTCTTAATTATTGAAAATGAAAACACTTTTTGCTAGAAAATAAATCAGCACGTTTGGTTTATGATTCATGAACTGTCTCAACTGTTTTTTGCATCATGAACATATTGGTATATTGTACTACGAGATACATTATGTCAAGTACGCAGGACATAACCGTGGTTATATATACAAATGACTCAATGCATCCACTCAAACACCAAAAGGATATATGGTGTCACTATACTGTGTGTCTCTGGTCCGTGCTAGGATGTATGAGATTCAAATCCTAGATTTTCATCGACGATATTCTTGGATTTAAGGTCAGCGACGTGCTTATTTTTGACATGTGGTATTTTTGTCTTCTCGGTGCTGATAAACTCTGCCGTAACTATTCCAAACAATCTAGATACGAATTCATGAACTTTGTCTCAGCGATGCAGTTTACACATTTTACTTTCTTCAACAGGTACTGGTTGAGGTGCTTTTAGGTCATAACATTGAGATCGATTTACCTATCACTATTGGCACCATTCCGTACGGCCACGCCCCTGCTCCTGGGGCAACGGTAGGGGGGAGCTACTGCTGGCACCAGCATGGGTAGGTCTGACCAAGTCTCCATGAATATGTTTACGACCCTGAAAAATTCAGTTTAGAATTTGTCTTCAGCAAGCATAGAATATTATTTAGGGCGAACCGGGATTCGAACTCACAATAAATGGTTTCTAATAGGTCCAACGGGGCGAAGCTCTCCACAAGGGATTGCTTCGCCTCATACGACTGGGCCGCTCATAAAAGCCCCACCCAATGAATATTCAGTCGTCAAACGGGCAGTTATTTTCGTGAACAACTATTCATGAAACTGAACATATACTCTACCCCAAAAAGAAACGCAAAGGTGATATTGATATATGAAATTTCAAATATTTTTGTTATAATTCGCCATTGTAATGCTCGTTTGTGGACTTGAAACGAATACACAGCTCATAAACGCATCTTGCATCTTGTCAACTTGCATGACAATGTCATGGAGAAAAAGTGGTTCGCAATAAGCACGAGCAGCTCTGAAGAAATGTGAGCAGGGCATTGTCTACACAAGTCCGCTTGTTTTGCTTTTGAACGGTCATTGTTTTTTTTTTTGGCTAAATGAAAGAATATATGACGCAACTCACTGCTGTATATCGAAACATTTCCATTGCGGAGTCTCAATCTGCAGGGGCACGTCACCTCCATGTTCACACAGAGTACCACCAGTCGTTTATGGGATCGATATCAACAAGCCAATTCTATGCAAGATCGGCCTCGATGAGGTAGACCACGAATTACTACTTCAGCGCAGGATGGGTACATCTGGGTACTTCGTTTGAGGAATTGAAATACCACTGCAACAGCAACCGCACCTACAACTGCAGGTGCGGTGCCTGGTTTGAGGAGGGCGTCGCCCCAAACCATTCGTAATCGTTTGCGAAGCCAGAATACCCTATTTTGGCCCTGTGCTGTGACGACTACGTCGACGGGTTCAGTGGTGCAATAACGTTCGATTCTGGAATCTACAAAAGTGGCGACATGTATGGGTCAGTGACGCATCACGTTTATTGTTTCAGTGCCGTGACTATATGTCTATCGACGTTGAAATGAACGTTTCGCCCAGGTTCACTGATATGGTGGTGGGAGTGTCACAGGACGGCACGGTATTATCGGTATACGGGTATATTGCAATGCGCTTTTTAAACGATATGTATTGCAATGATATTTCTGAGAATCAGTATATTCGGCAAAGAACATATATGAAGTTTTTTGTGATTATCTTTATGGTTTAAGTTAAAATCTACACACTTTCATTAACAACAAATCTTTTCCTGTCAAACACTTAAGTTCCCGATATATCGCAATACGTATTGCAATACGGGTACCTGAATCGCAATATATTGTAATACAATTTATTTGCCAATACACAGCTCTAGAGTGTCACGATGTAGGGTATCATATTAACAGCTGTTCGGTACAGAGACGAAATCTTAAGGAGTCACCATGGTTCCGATCATCGACAGCTAGAGGGAGTTCTCCTACCAAGAGAATATCAGGGCTCACACAACACAAGCCACTATTCACCATCTTCAGAATGAGAACATTACAGTGCTTCAATGGCCTTCCAAATCGCCCAACCTCAGCCTCAATGAACACTTGTTGGATGACCTCAGTCGACGCTAATGTGAACGTCAACCGAAATAAACACTGAAATAACACAGCAACTACAACTGCAAGTGCGGTGCCTGGTTTGTTAAGAGTGTCGCCCCAAACCATTCGTAATCGTTTACGAAGCCAGAAGACCCTATTTTGGCCCAGTGCTGCGACGACTACATCGACATCGACATCGTTTGTGGGAGGACCTCAGTCGACGCGTATGTGAACGTCAACCGGCGCAAGCATTGGAAGAGTAATGGGCCGGAATTCCAAAAGGTCAAAGACCATTCAGTCCATGCCGAGACGATGCAGAGCAGCTTTTGGGGCTCATGGTGGCCATAGCAGATGTTGAAGACAACGCCCAACTGCGAACGGACGCATTCACTTATTGAACCTTCTATAAGCTATACATGATAAAATACATTTAATCTTTGTTATTGTGAACTTTGGCTGCAACTGATCCAGAATTACATGTGTTATCTCACTTTACACCTATGCGTTTCTTTTTGGGTAGAGTATATAACAATTACGCTACTTATACACAATTTGTTTCTGAAATCTAAGGAAGTCTGTAAAAGGTAGTCCTGCACAATGATTGTTACAGGTTAGTGATAGATGACATCAAATATGAACGATTACCAAAACTACCTGTAACCAATATTCCAACAATGTACACATACACCTTCGGTTGCTATCCAAGTAACCTGATTTTGCAGGAATAACAATATAAACGATGAAACTCTCGTGAAACTAATGGCACATACACACACACCATCCCCACGCCTCCTCACAAGGTGTATCAACCCCGTTTCGTCATTAGCTTCGCAGAGTAATATCAATTTGTACGTGTTTCTTCCTGGTGTCGTGTGAAGCCCATTGCTGGTGTCCCCCGGCATGATATTGCTGGAATATTGCTAAACGCGGCGTAAAATCATACTCACTCACTCACTCACTCAGTCTTCCTGGTGTCAACTTAGTGACTAAAGCATCTGGTTGTTAATTACTGTGGATTATTTTCAGAGGTTGATGCTTCCAGCGCCACAGCCTACACCAAATGCAACTGGGGATTCCATCATGTCTGGACGGATGAAGAAGAGTTTTCGAACTTCAAATATGTCCCCATGTGTGCCCACGTTGTGAACAACACTTTCACCCCTCCTCTTAGTTCCCAATGATGCTGTTGAGACAAGCACAACTAGTGGTGCTGATGTTGATGCTGATGGTGGTGCTGATGTTGACGCTGATGTTGATGCTGATGGTGATGCTGATGGTGATGCTGATGTTGGTGCTGATGGTGATGCTGATGGTGGTGCTGATGGTGATGCTGATGGTGGTGCTGATGGTGGTGCTGATGATGCTGATGTTGATGCTGATGTAGGTGCTGATGGTGGTGCTGATGATGCTGATGGTGGTGCTGATGGTGATGCTGATGGTGATGCTGATGGTGGTGCTGATGGTGATGCTGATGGTGGTGCTGATGGTGATGCCGATGGTGATGCCGATGGTGATGCTGATGGTGGTGCTGATGGTGATGCTGATGGTGATGCTGATGGTGGTGCTGATGGTGGTGCTGATGGTGATGCCGATGGTGATGCTGATGGTGGTGCTGATGGTGGTGCTGATGGTGATGCTGATGGTGATGTTGATGGTGATGCTGATGGTGGTGCTGATGGTGGTGCTGATGGTGATGCTGATGGTGATGTTGATGGTGATGCTGATGCTGCTGCTGATGGTGATGCTGATGGTGATGCTGATGGTGGTGCTGATGTTGATGCTGATGGTGGTGCTGATGGTGATGCCGATGGTGATGCCGATGGTGATGCTGATGGTGATGCTGATGGTGATGCTGATGGTGATGCTGATGGTGGTGCTGATGGTGGTGCTGATGGTGATGCTGATGGTGATGTTGATGGTGATGCTGATGCTGATGCTGATGGTGATGCTGATGGTGGTGCTGATGGTGGTGCTGATGGTGATGCCGATAGTGGCGCAGCGTTAGCCATTGTGTAACCCACTATGACGACATGACTAGGCAGCCAATTAAAGACAAAGTCGTTTCAGCCAGTTGAGAGATCATTGAAAAGCTGTAAAATATCTAAACTGGATGATTTGAAGACAAATGTTTTAATGCCTGAAGACAGGAAAGACAATCACACAATAATTTGTTTTTTTTCATACAGATTGTCTTTGGATGTACATAAACACTGAGACCGCCTCCATGGTGTAGTGGTTAGAGCGACCGCCCGAGCGGTTAGAGCGAAAGGTCGCGGGTTCGATCCCCGACCGCGTCATACCAAAAGACGTTAAAATATGGTACTTGTTGGTCCCTGCCTGGCGCTCGGCATTAATGGGTACAACAAGGACTGGTCGGCTCGAGAACCGGAGTCAGTATAATTTGTCTGAGTGAGGTATTAATGCTTCACTGCGGCATTGTATATCAGTGGGCTAGCACTATGGGCTAGTACAAGCAGCCACACATACACATACACACGCATGCACGTCGTCATATGAGCGAAATATTCTCCTAGCACGACGTTAAGCCCAATTTCACCTCACATAAAAACAGAAGAATAACATGGGATTCAGCAGTAAAAATGAGTTAGTTTTGTTGGTATTTTTGAATCAAACTGTTTTGAACAAATCAGCCAATGCTACCATCCTTGGATCCATCGGTAAGTATTGAACGGTGATTATTACTTCGTAATTTTGATATTCCTTTTGATATAATAATTGGTTTGTATCAGACTTTTAAAAAATTGTCAGAGAAACGTCTATTTCTGATCTGTCCACCTGCTACAAAAGAATTGACAAAAGAGGGAGAGATGAAATCAAAATAAATCCACCATATGCGGTTTTATCCGAATCAGCCTGGGTTTGTTTTGAAAGAGTTCTTCATAGAGGAGCTGAGCAGGTTTTTAGGGATTGGAACGTAATTTAGTAATGTATTGAAGGGACAATTAAATGAGGCGCTGTTTTAAAGTAGGTTTATTTGCCTCTACATAAAAGCTATCAATTAGTGGTGTGACGATTCTTCGATACGCAACGATGCATGGGCCGCCGATACAGAGAATCGATACAAAGTTTTACATTGTCATATATCAGTGTGTGTGTGCGTGCGTGCGTGCGTGCGCGCGCGCGTGTGTGTGTTTTACATTGTCATATCCCGATGCGATGCATCAAATGGGCAACGATACATCGATGTTTAACTTTGAATATTGCCGAATCACGTTATCTGTCAAGATAAGTGTTTTTTTTCGGATGATTAAAATATATGCACACTTATTTTCCCTTCATAAGTAAACGTTTTCTCGGAAATACTTGCGCGAAGAACTGTGTCAGACACAGCGCTCGCATGTTATTAACATTTACAACGTCCGTGTGTAAAGTTAATTATCTCGTTTCCGAATGAACATTGAACAACGTTGGCGGAATTTGACGAAATAGTTGAAAACACTTACTACTATTAATTATAATTCCTATTTGGTCAGAAACAGTTACATCCATTTTCATGGTAATTTCGAACATTGTTCATGTTTATTCCTGTTGTGAATTCCCAAAAGTTTGTTTTCATTATCAAATATTTAGATGATGAATAAGTAAAAGGCTTCAATATGAAACCATTGTACAATGGTACACTGTATTTGATTTTTTGTCACTGACATGTGGGTATGCTCAGTTGCTCATGACTCATGAGAGTGACCTTTTGTTATTAAGGAAAACAAGTATAGGCATTAAGGACCATGTTTTACCGTTTTAAAATCAGCACAAAATTCATTCTATTCTGTGACTGCGGTGACAGCATCCAGCAACATGCAGATATTAAAGATATTTTAATCTATGATTTCTGTTTATAAGAGTATTGTATATATTTTGTACTTGTTTTTTCACAAATGCCCAATGTCACTTTTTTTCAACTTTACGTTTCTTTCAGTTAAACATTGTGTTTGCTTTGATTTATAGTTGGCGTTAGAAGTTAAGGTTTTAGAATCATGATACGTATAGTATCGGCACCCTTCTATCGGGATTCGTATCGTATCGCAGCTTAAGTTCACAATACTTTGGCAATATATCGTCGTGGGGGATGTTCGAAAAGCACCCAAACAGAGTCAATGATCCAAATTGACAGTTATTACCAACATCAGTGTGTTTTCTGATGAAAAAGCATATCGACCAAACGCACCTAAAAAGGCAAACGTGGTAAAAGGTTCCGCATGACATTCGTGAACATGAAAATGCACGTGCATATCGTGACAATCCTACCAATGAAAGCGAGTCCAATACTCGCCTGAAATCATTTTTGTTTTGGCACAATCGCCATGGCACGACTTACGAGAGATCAGAGGAACAAAGTCTTGGGACGATTGCAATTTGGCCAGACTACCAGGTAGTCAATCATATTAATGTTCATGTTAGGACAATCTACCGACTGCAGGAGTGGTATCAGGTCATTAACAGCATCCAAGCCGTCCACGCAGTGGGCGACCTTCTGGACTCACAACAGACCCATCAGTGCCGATACAGTGCGTCGACGTTTGCGCGGAAGAAACCTCTGCTGTCACAGACCATATCGTAGTCCTGTCCTAACCGCTCATCACCACCAAAACCGACTGCAGTGGGCAACTCGGCATCGAAATTGGTGTTATCGACAATGGAGAAGTGTGCTTTTTTCCCATGAAAGCCAACATTGCGTTTCGACAGTCGATGGCAGAGTGAGAGTGTGGTGAAGGCGTGGGGAACTGTTTTCCAATGAGTGTATTGTTGAAAGAGACCCGTGGGGTGGTCCAAGCATCATGGTGTGGGGAGCAATCAGTTTGAACCAGATAGTTGGCACCATGGTGTTCCAGAATCTCGGTCCAAGATGAGGAAATGACGTGATGGCTGCTCGCTATATTGACCAAGTGATAAGACCCCACGTTGTACCACATTTTGGACGTTACAGAAATCACATCTTAATGCAAGACAACGGTCGTGCCCACACTGCCAGAGTAACACTGAACTTCCTAAGACAACATGGCATCCAAACCCTACAATAGCCTGCACTCAGTCTTGATTTGGGTCCAGTAGAACACCTTTGGGACAAGATTCAAAGAAGACTGAATGTCCTCCACCCAAGGCCGACAACTGCTGCTGGACTCGATCAGGCATTTCACAGAGTATGGACCCAAGTGCCTATGGCCTTCATCAACCAGCTAATTCATTCCATGTACATACGATGTGCGCACAAATCCACGCTCGTAAGCATGCTCATGGCGCTACAATTAAAACAATATGTACAGTAAGAGTGAGCTGTTTATGATTCATAGAACTGAATGAAAAGGTGTGTTTTGAGATGGCTTTTAAAGGAGTCTAGAGTTGGTGCGAGCTTCAGGTCAAAGGGTAAAGAGTTCCACAAGACCGCAGCAGTGTGTGAGAAGGATCTCTGACGGATGGTCTTAACCTTGTAGGGAGGTACTGTCAGGAGATTGTGCTGTTGTGACCGCAGTTCACGGATTGGAACATACGGAGTTATGAGTCCAGGGCCCACTTGCACAGAGCAATCTTAGTTACAATCAATCTTAGGGCCTTACAATCAACTTTACAATCACCATACAATTGCCCTAATCCACTTGCACAAAGCCGATCTTAGCGCGATTGTAAGACCGTATGGATTTAAGATCCCGATCTTAGCTAAGATCGCACTCTTCAACGGTGGAGGTGCGAATTTCTTAAACTCGACTCCTGTCTACAGTTGTCTGCAAGTGCGCATAGCATACTGCGCAAATAGAGAGTGATACTGGTCCCTGCACACAATACATACCTCCCTCAATCGCACTTTGCAGAATTTTCATGACAAACATTCCAAGAAATCTTCGAAGGAACCGATTACGTGGACGATAGCATATATTTTTCTACATTTTAACTGTCTTGATTTATGAATTGAGAATGTGATATTTCAACCACGGAAATACCTACCCATGTTTTATGAAAATATTGAACTGCGAAAAATACATTCATAAATTTGGGTCTAGATTTAGTGACTTAATAATTATGAAAATTATAATAATATATCAAATATCGACAATATTTACTTATGATATAACACCTAAATGCATGATTTGCCACTGGTTGTCAATGAGACATTGTTTAATGCACAGCTGGTTTTTTTCCTTTTTGTTTTTTTTGTGTATGTAAAATC